TGAAGAAGAAACTCACAGTACCTTCTCCACATCATATCCACACTGGCCTGCAGAGACAAAACTGGATGTCATGGAACAAACCGAAATAACAAATATCCAATTCTGTGACATCATGAATAACATCAAAAATAAACATTCGGAAAAGTAATTGCAAAATAGAATGGTTATAAGTGGCATATATTATCTCTACATCTATACTAAAATATTATCTTCACAGTTGAAGCTCGTTAACTTCTAATTTTTWACTCCAAGACAATCAGAATTACAAAAAAGCTCCCCGAGTAAGAAAACAAGATAATGGTTTTTTGTCAAAGTCTCACAAGCCTCAGATATTCCAACTAAAGATTTTCCCTAGAAACTTAGATTTTTTCCCAATGGAAGTAGACAGYTCACTTTGTCAAAATTGATAAAAATACTAAAGCTCTTCAACTCTGACCCTCTAATTGTTAATGGGTCTAAACACATACCCCCAGCTTCGCTGGCATGATCATAACTTTTTAACAGCCCCACCCAATCCTCCTCTTCTAATAAATTCAAGGTTACATCTTTCTAACAATCAGCCTGGACTCATTTCTGATCTTGAAGATAGTGACTAAAAACCACCACAACAGAAAGGAGAGCAGAGGCTTCTACACCTTCCGCTGACAGATTTTTACGTAACCCTTAAATACCGTCTCCTCTTCACTCAACTCAAAGTCTCCATCTTCACTCAACTCAAAGTCTCCATCTCTAATATTCATACGTTCCTGCACCATAAAAGTCATCGTCCAAAACTCAAACTCCGTGTGCTAGAAAAGTGAGTGAAAGTTCGCTCTCTTGGCAAAGAAAATAGGATATGCTTAGTTGTGTGAAAACGATTGTTTTGTTGTTTCAGATCACCTTCACTTCAGCTTCTCTATTAAGAGAACCCTCCTTGGAAGATTGCTGGTGTTCAGCGATGGTTCAGATGCTAGGTACACGGATTTCTAAATCTCTAAGGTAGAAAAAATGTTATATATACCCTTGCATTGTAAGCCTCTTGGAATCCAAGTGAAAATTGAATTGTTTCCTTCTATTTTTTGTTTATCTTTGTACCTCTTTTGTGGATCTTATATAGTAGAGAATGATTAACCCTGTGTTCCTTCAAATGGTAAAACGTGTATCCTTCAGAGGTACAGGTTTATACTAATAAATGTTAAGTTATTAACATACATTGGAACAAATAAGAACCGCACTTGCAAAATGACATCGTTCACCATTCAGACGTCATTCACATCTAAACACTTCTACTCATATATCATAAATATTAACGCGATTGAAGAGAGGAATATAAACGTTACTCACAGAGCACATCTCTCACAACAGCCATGCTCAGCTCACACTCATCTCCTAGCATGGAGCAGAGAAACTGCTCAGCTTCCTGTTGAGAAATCTTCCCGTGGTCAAACTCCATGAATTTATTCCTCGAATCTCTCTTCAAAGACGACCGAACATAATCCTTCCCTAAAACTGTTGATATTGTTCCCGTGGCAGCAATAACCCGCTTCTGCTTCTTCCCCTTATAATCCTTGTAATCCAAAACATCCTCCGAAGAGTACGAACTCGAACACGAAGCCGTGATCGCGCTGGACGATGAAGTCGTCGTCAGGTTATCGGTATAGTCGCCGAAGCCAGCGTCCAAACTCTCAGCGTCTTCGTTCAGGCCAACCCTAGGCTCGCCAGAAACAGGTGCAGGATCGTTGAGAGAAGCCACCGAGAACGCCTCCGTCACTGCACCGACGACATTAACATCATTTTTAGTAACAATCTTATCAGCGTCCGGCCCCGGAGCCCCAGAGGCCTTCTTCTTCTTCTTCTTATTTCTAGGGTTCTTCATGCCAGCCGAAATTCGAAATTACAAAATAGCTCGACACTTCAAAAGGCAGCAATTGGGACAAATTTGTGGCGTTTGGCAACAAAATTGGAGAAGTTACAAACCCTAATTAGGTTGTAGAGGGGGGATAGAGATGAAAAAGGAAGAACGAAAAATGGAGATTCGAGGAATTGGAAAAACCTTGAGAAGAAAGTAAGTGGTAGATGGGAATGGAGGCGATGTAGAAAGTGTGAGAGCTGGTTTTTGACGTCAATGGGGAATCTCCATCCATGATCACAGGTAAATCGGGAGATTAGATTTTATATTTATAAGCCACAATGGAAGCACTCTGGACCGAGCGCATTGCCACGGATTGGCCTATTAAAAAAAGGAAAACAGATAATTTACAAACTACGCCCTTACTTTGGATTTTTTGGATTAAAAGGAAAAGGAAACAAAAACTTTTTCCCTTTTTTTTTTTTTTCTAAATTGTGAGTATTGTATTTTTATAAATGTAATAACAAAACCTTTTTTAAATGTTATTTAATGATTATTAACTTTTTATCCACTTTGTTCTGTTAAAAAAATTATTAAGTTTAATAGAGCATCATTTGATCAATTATTGTAATTATTCATTTAAGGACATATATATGATTTTAATCATTTTTTTAGTTCAATAATTGTGAGGTGAGATGAAGCTGTATTTTAACGATACTAAATATCTTATACACCGACTTTATTACAACTAATGATATTGCATGCTACTTCTTTTAATGGAGAATACAAAATTTATTATCAATATAATAATGCACCACTTCTCTTTTATTCAAAGTGTGCATGTTGTGGGTAATGTACGTTAATCTCATTATAATGTAGATCAAAGAAATTTGAAGTTTTTAGTGATTTTAAATTGTATTGTGACAAAAAATATTGACTTTGTGTGCAGGTAGATTGTTACAAAAAATACAAAATAAATAAAAGGGTTAGGTTAGGACAACATTCTCTATTATGACATGATTTATATTTTTTCATACAGGTTTTTCGTTCTTTATTCTCTATTTAGAGAGATCGAGATTCTCTATGGTAAAAAGTACATTTTAAATTTTTTATTAAATACAAATTGAATTCATGATCGTTAAATTTAGTAACTTGAACCCTACTCCAATTCAAAATAATAATAACAACAATAATAAATTTAACCATACTCCTTGTTCGTGACATAGTATTTTATAAAAATTGTAAATTAAGATTAAATATATTGTTATAATAAGATTAATATTTTTGTTATAAGTTAACTTAAACTATTAATTTTAAGAAAGATTAAACTAATAATTCAATAATAAAGTTAATAAATATATCACAATTAATAAAAAATTCAGATGGGTTATGATTTTTTTTTAACATAAATTATGGTTCAAATCGCTTATCGACTCCATGGCAGAAAAATCAATCTCAGCCATTTTTAACGATCTTTTCCTTTTTATTGGAGAAATGTCATATTGAGTTGACAATTTTTGTTTGGGTTTTTTTAGTTAGGTTCATATTCACCTTTTTATTTTTTTTATTTGATAATAGGTTGAGAATGGGATTCAAAGATATAGCATTGAGTTGACATATTGTGTATATATATAGCATTATATTTGGTACCGTAAATATTAACCCATAATCAACAACTGATCAAGACACATGGTCCAAGGACGAAAATTGAGAAAAAAAAAAAAAAACCTTAAAATTCAAACAACAAGGACGAAAATTTAAAATATTATTTCTATTAACCAATGGCAATTTTTCCATTACAAAAATGTTCATAATTTCCTAACACAGCAAGAACATGCAAAAAGAGAGTATAAATTTATAATATCCTAAAGGGAAAATTTTAATATTACAAATTTTTTTATCTCATACTCTCAAGGAAGAAATTAATCAATGTGGTTGTCCTCCTAACTACAGCCGGATGCACAAGAGTCAACATAATTTTTAATCTCTCTCGTGCATACATCGCCATCGCGTCAACCACATTGTTTCAACTCCTACAATATTTTCTGATGGCAAACTTGTTAGTAGTATCATCTCCTCTGAAAGTTGATGAATTTCACAGACATTGCAAAGACCGAAAAGAATAGGACGTTGAATGCAACGAGAACCGCTACCGAAACTCCGATCATACCGGGGCCATATCCTAAGCTTACTTCCAAGTATTGTTTCACAGAGCCCTCAAAACCTGGTTCCACAATTATAGTTTCTACATCACCCAGCTGTGACGTTATAATACCCCTCAGAGTCCATGCTACAGGGCAGATGTAATAGAACCAAATCCACCATCCAGGGATGTTCTGATGTTCAAAATCAAACGGTTAAAAGTAACTCATAACTCAAATACATTTTTCTGTAAACAACCAGTAATTCTATGAAACTTCTCCCTCTTGAAATGAATTTCAAAGTCTCTAGTTAAATAATCACAAATCGTTTTGAAAATCTTAAGAACACTAAAAATAAGTAATTTCAACTGTTTTTAAGGGGAAGCAGTTACTAGTGCTTATTCCGAAAGTGTTTATAATAAAAGTGCTTAAGAATGAAAAACTTACTGGTTTTGGTACAAGAAAGCCAGAGAGGAGGTTCCATAAAGAGTAGAATGCAGAAGAAACAACTGCAGCCACTTGTTGTGAAGGAGTGAGGCCAACCGCCATCATACCGTAAAAGGTGAAATATGTGAAGGTGAGGAACATGAAGAGGAGATACAGAAAAAACTTTCCTGCAAAATTCGAAAAAAATAAAAAAAATAAAAAAACATCCAGTTTCAGGAACAGGTTGCAAATGTACCATTTCAGTTCACTTGAAGGTTTAAAAACCTGATCTTTTGAAGAAACATATATCATAAATGTGAAGAACAAAGGATACTTACCAACATTTCTTTCAAAATTAACCATGAAATATGTGATGACACCGAATATTATGGTTTGTGCGGCAACATATGGGATTTCCACTAGACCCTGTTGGATATTGACAACAAAAAAGTTATTCCCCCTTTATTTACCTATCATCAACATTTATGACTAGACAAAAACTACTTCCTCTTCGTTCAACATTTTGTTATAAAGTTTTTTTAAATTTGGCTAAAAGCTCAAATGTGTTTATAAGGTGAGAAGTATACCAAAGATATCGTGAGAAAGCAAGTGTAACTCTTAAAAACAGAAAACTAAAAACGAAATTGTTACCGAACGATGTTTTAAATTACCTGTGCTAAGGCATAAGCAATTGGAGAATACATTCCAGCTGCTCTCTCGCGATAAAATACTGTTCTCTCAATTGAAACAATTGGTTGCACCGAAGAAGCATTATTCACTCCAAGGAACAAACATGCAGCATATAGAGCTCCCATAACAACAAGCAACTCTTGAGTTGAATTCCTTAGGAACATTCATGAGAAGAATTAAATAAAAATGTTAAAAGAAGACAATTTCCAACCAAAAACACAAAGAAATACAAGTTTACACAACAATATGGACTTGTACTTGCTCTAACATGGTCATTTACCTTTAATCTTATATAGTTGAATATGTTGTACAACAAACATAGGTTCAAGCACACAATCATTTAATTGACCCACAAAAAGAAAAGAAAAAGGCAGAATCATGAACCAACCCACTAAGAAAGAAAGAATTTGAGCTAACACTTGACGAGAAGAGAAATTTTTACCTTTTCATGCCAATATCCCAAAATGTTGAACCAAATATCACTGCACTTATCGTGGTGAAACATATTCTCATGGCATTATAATGCGGACTTCTCCAATAAACAAGTGTTTGCTTCCAAAGGCAAGTACGAAACTGGGACAATTTATCTTGCGAGTAGGTCGAATCAAACTTCAATGGTTCTCCACCGATTGGAGGAACACTAAATTGCTTGATGGAAGCTTCAACACTCCTAGAGAAAAAAATTGTAAACATGACAAAATGTTTAAAACCATTAAAAAAGAAGAAGAAAAAATAAATTGTTCAATTGTAATGTAGTAGCACCTGTACTGGTCAGAGTTCCTATATAAGTTAGCAAAATCTTCACCAATTTTCTGCTCAGCTGCAGGGGTTGTAACCTCCAGCATCCAAGTAGCTGGATTGTAAGAATCTGGTATTGGAGATACTCCACTAATCCCCTATAGTGTAAAAATTAATCTCTTTTACAATCATGAGAAGAACAGGGCTACTCAAAAACCTATTTTCAATTAATTAATCTCCATGTGAGAAAGTTTAAACAAAACCTATTTTCAATTAATCTCCATGTGAGAAGGTAAATAATGTTTTAACTAGTTGAGTTATGCTGGCAAGTAGTAGAGACATAATTCATAATAATATTTTCGTGTGCCTCAGCCCATATAAGATAGAAATGTTCTTACCTCAAAATAGTCGATCATTATTTGGGAATGTGTTCCTAGTTTTCCTCCATATATAACTCTTCCCCCTCGTTTCATTAGAAGCAACTGCAAAAGAATGTTAAGTATAAGATCGTTAAGAATTGATTTTGACATTTCCCAACTATGTTCCCCAAAAATTTGTAACAAGGTTTAGGATAACCTCATCAAATGCTTCAAATATGTCGATACTAGGTTGATGTATGGTACAAACAACAGTTCTTCCAGTATCAACTGTATTACGAACGGTTCGCATCACAATAGCTGCTGCCCGTGCATCAAGTCCAGAGGTAGGTTCATCCATAAAGATAATAGAAGGATTTGCAACGAGTTCAACTGCAATTGTTAGACGTTTCCTCTGTTCTGTGGATAAACCAGTACTACCGGGCATACCAACCAAAGCATGTCTAAGAGTATCAAGTTCTACTAAACTCATTACTTCTTCAACAAACTCCTGAAAGCATCAAAACAATATTAAATTTGGATCATTTGGACAAAATAAATTAAATTTTCTTTATACCCAAGATCTAGGTAAGCAAAATATTTACGTGTCGTTTCTCTTTGCTGATTTCTTTGGGAAGGCGTAGTGCAGACGAAAATTGGAGGCTTTCCTCTACTGTCACTTGAGGGGAATGTATATCATTTTGCTCTACGTATCCTGATATTCTAGCAAATGTACGTTGCTCTTTTAAAAAGCCTGATATTCTAATTTCACCTTCAATATATCCACCGGTTTTTCTACCCGCAAGTACATCCATTAGTGTAGTTTTTCCTGCTCCGCTTGCCCCAACCAATGCTGTAAGAATACCAGGTGAAAATACACCACTCACATTTGATAAGAGTTGCAACCTCCTTTCAGGTATACCTTTTTGCTTCATTTCCTGAGTCAAAAATAATGAGAGTTGGTATCTCATAAACAAAATAGATGCATATAGATGTGAATAATAAATTTAAACTTCTAGCCAACCTTTGGAGTATCAACAAAATAATTAACATTGTAAAAAGTCATTGTTAGTGGTTGGAAAGGAAGAATCATTCCCTTTTCTTTCTTGCCGGTTCTAGCAGATGTTTCGAAGTTCGAACCTTGAGTGACCTCTACAAGGTAGAAAACATGAGAAAAGTGAAAAACAAGATTAAAAAGAGATGAATAAGACCAGTTCACAAGGCATGACAAGAATTTATTACTGACCATTGTTTGCAGCAGAATTAGCTTCGGTGGTATTAGTTGGGATTACAGTTTGGGCTTTTTTTATGGCTGTTGAGAATGAAACGACAATAATATTACTAATTTAAGCTTCGTTTGACAACCATTTTCCTTTTTGTTCTGTTTTAAAAAATTATATTGGTTTCCTCATAATTTTTCCGGGTATGTTGTTTTTCACCCTTCTTTAAAATAGATTTAAATTCTTTGCTAATTTTCAAAAACAAAAATAAAATTTCAAAAACTACATTTTTTTAGTTTTCAAAAACTTGCCAGATTTTTTGAGACATGCTTTTAGAAAATAGATAAGAAAACAAAGAAATACACAAGTAGACGTAGTGTTCATAAGCTTAATTTTTAAAAACAGAAAATAAAAAATAAAATGGTTATCAAACGAAGCCTAAATGTAGATATAAAAATATGACAATCTTAAAACAGACAATTTGTTATTAACTTACGATGGAGTTTAGCCAAGGCCAAAGTCACCATAACATTGAAAACCAATGCATAAAACAACAACACACCAACACCCAACCAGTACCAATAGTCGCCAGCAGGCATGCTATGTGAATGCAGAACGTTGTATCCAATGGTTTCATTTCCAAAAGCAGATTTCTGCAAATGTTTCAGTTATATGAAATCATGATATCACGAACCAAAGTTGTCAGTATAAAATATTGATAGGCTGTGACTTCATTAATCACGATATTATACATTTATGATTAGTGGCAAAAATGTAGGGGCAAAATTTTTACATTCCATCTTTTTATTTGTATAACCTTTCTAAACTTTTAGAACAGAACAAATTTGAGAGAGAATTTAAAAATCTTTTACTTTTTATATAATTTTTTAACCTTTGATGAACCCGAAGGAAGGCATTGGTTGGTTGTATCATACCTGCTTCCACCTAGTGGCAGTAAATTCATTGACAGAAATTGCACGTTGCCCATAAGACAGAGGTGACAACCAAAATGCCCATGCCCACCATGGTTTAATCATGGCTGAAATATGATATCAAAATTAGAGATAACAGTCTTTAACCTTCTAGCAAAGTTGGTAAGAACAAATATGAATTCTACCTTTTGGTATGATAAATCCACCCAACAAAAATATAATTAGTAAGGTTGCTGAACCAAATGTATTGGCAACTACCATATCTCGAGTTACAGCTGCCATCGTACGAAAAAGGCCTAAAGCCATTTGATGAACCGAAAAGAGTAGAAACATGAAGCGGAAAAACCTGAAAATCGCTTAAAAGTAAGTTAGTGAGTAAAAGATAAAGTTATGAGCAAGAGAATAATGAGGAAGCATTACAAGAGAGAAAAAGCACTTTAGAGATACCTTCCAGCACTAGGGGCAAAACCAACAGTATAATATACAACACAAGACCATACAACAGCTTCAAGTACAGAATAAGGCACACGCAAAATCCAGCTACTGACAGACCACGCCCAAGCAGTGTGAAACAAATTATCTCTTTGCTTATAAAAAACAGGGAGGCGAGATATCATAAGAGGCAACTCAGAAAATCCATTGAACATCATATGTATCAATCCGAAAAACAGACAAGAGAGATAGAGGTTGCCGTTTATTTCATCTGTAGGGTGCATTCTTGTTCGTAAAAACATTGTGCATGTAACGAATCCAACAAATGCTACCTATAAGTTATGTATGAAAATTGTGAGTTAGAGAAAAAAACTAATTCCAAAACGAAAGGTATATTGAAACGTACAAACGTGGCCAACATGCTTTGAATATAATGTTACTAGAAATAAACTTAGGATTGGGAAAAATAAATACCTGACATGTCCTAAAAATATAAAGAAAACTATGTCTGCTAATTAGTAGTAGTTCTCGAGCAAAGCAAGCTTTAAAAAGTTCACCCCTTGAGGCAGCAAATTTTGTTCTAGCCAAAGCCGAAGGATGACACTGAGATTTGTCATACGGATGTTTAAGCGTCGACTCCAAAGATTTCCCAACCCTGAAATTTTTAAATGCTTCTACAAATTCAGGAACAGAAATGTAGGAATATGGTCGAGAAGAATCAGCCCAATATTGTGCTTGATCCTTCTTAGATGTGACCTGTCACACAACACAAATTAGACATATGCGAGAAAACGTCAATTAATTTAGCAATATGATGATTATACCTCTTGTAAAAAATCAGCAACTCCCTTGCGAGGTGGTAACTTGAAACCTAATGACTCAAAAAACTCTAACACATCTTCTCGAGGACCTTGATACACCAAATACCCATCTGATAATAAAATAAGATCATCAAACAGTTCAAATGTCTCAGGAGCAGGTTGTAGGAGAGCCATCAACACTGTAGCTTCCATCTGATGAACAAAGTTCCTTAAACATTTGACTATTTGATAAGTTGTCGAGCTATCGAGTCCGGTGGATATCTCGTCCATAAAAAGAGTTTTTCTTGGCCCAACAATCATTTCGCCTGCACAAAGAAGTTTCATTATTGAATAAATTGTTCTTCGTACATTCCAATTTAATACAAAGTACAAACAATATTTTTCACAAGTAAAGAAATCAACCTGAAGTAACTCTTTTTCTTTGGCCGCCAGAGATCCCCCTAACCATGTCATTACCAACTAGTGTCTCTGAACATACATCGAGACCAAGCACTTTCAAGACGTAATCCGTCAAAACACTATGCTTTTTACCATGAACAGATGATGCCTGAAGAAATGCATAGGAAAATGAGAATTAATTAAAAGATTGTGCATCACAATCCCATTTATTAGTACTGACTAACTTTCATGAATGCATCTATATCTGGACTGGGCCGTATATTCCTTTCTTTCTCCAAGTAAGGCAACTCTTTCATATATCCTACCAGCAAAAGAGACGAAAAATAAAATCAAGAACATAGTTTCGTTGTAGCGTAACGACAGAACAAAGCTACATTTTACATAGAACAAACCTGAAAAGCCCTCGCTTGCACCTTGGCATCTAGCTGCAAAGTCCAAAGTTTCTCGTACAGTCAACTCTGCTAGGTGATTGTCTGATTGACTAATATATGCAGATGTTCTTTGAACACAGAACTCATCTAGATTATGTCCATTATAAGTAATTCTACCAGTTTCCTAAAAGGGCAAACCATGGTCAAATAAACGAGAATGCTGTAATCTAACATCAGTAATACTTTATTGATGCTTTATTTTATATTTTTTCAAATGCCTTACTTCTTTCTACAAAAAGTCAGAATAATAAAAACTAGCTCGATCGACAATCTTTTTTTTTTCGAGATAAACAATCATATTTCTTTTAATTCCATACTTCTAAAATTTATATTTTAATTATTTGATATTATAACTTCAACTTGAACTATAGAAATCACATTTTTGTGATAAATTTGAGTATAATTCAATTCAATTGGCTAAAATATATATTTTCGACTTAACGATCGTGAATTGGAATATACATGACATGTTGCTGTACTAAAAATAATTCTTAACAATCATGATATCATATATTTATAACCTATTAATATTGTGAAAAAAAAAGAAAGACAAAGAATAATTCTTTTTTTTTTAACAGGAAAATTGAAAGACTTATTTTAACTATTACAATGGGACTTTTTTGGGTAGACTAGGAAAGTAGAGGTTTTTATTTTTTTTTATTTACGAAAAACAAGTGATTTTGAACTTATTTAGTAAACTGAGATAGATTTGTGTCTTTATTGATTTTGAAAAAACAAGTGATACCTCTTTTTAATATACACTGGGTTGACTAAGAGTCTAAGAATGTATTTTCCTAAAAGAAGTATTTGACAAAAATTTCTCTCTCCTCCGTTTATTACTTTTTATTTATTTATTTTTTATTTGATTCAATTCTCTCTCCTCGTTCTCATTATATATTATTATTATTACTATTTTTTTGTCTTCTTGGTCTATCTCGTCCATACATCTCTTCCAAATAAAATCTTACTACCTCTCCATTTAAATTTAGTTAAAAAGAAGAAAGGTTTTTATAACTAAACTTCATTTTTTAAAATTAAAACTGAACATTAATTTTGAAAAATAAAAACTTGTTACCATTGTCTTCACGAAATTGAAAACTATTTATATTTTTAATTATTTTTTGAGCATTGTACACTGATGATTTTTTTCTTTTGAAAAAAAAATCAAATTACAATTTCGTAAATAGCAATTTCAATTTGCATATTACTAAAGAAATTAATTTGTATAATGATATTAAATTTACAATACATCATATCACAATTTAAAAAATAATAATGAGAAAAAAAAAACCAATCCTAAATTATTATTTGTTAGGATAATACTAAATTAATTTTTAATCTTCTAATAGAGATAGAACAAGTTCATCCTATTAATTCGGCTCATACTTATTTAAAATTTTGATAATCTCAACAAATTTCTAAATTATATTTGTATTTGATATTTAAATCAATAATAACAAGATAAATGAAAGCAAGAAAATTAAGAACATAGATCCAATAGCTAAACAATTGTCCATTTAAGAACATCACACTATTAATCTTTTAGATCTATTTTTCATTTAGAAAATAAGTTAAATAAATGAATGAAGGCATTAATAAAATATAAAAGGAACTTTCTAAGAACAAAATAATAAATAAAAGAAAAACTTCAAATTAAGAGAGAAAAGAAAGATAGAATTTGTATATTTTTGGGGAAGAATTGTGGATAGAGGAGAGCAGTTATGGAAAGACGAATAATATTTTATTTTTTGGAAACAAAAGAAAGATAAAATTAATTAAATAATGGAAATTAAGGGGGTTTATTGGAAAATATTAAGAAATTAATGGAAGAAAGATAAAATTCAAATTTTTTTTTATTCAAGTTAAAATTCAATTAAAGAGTAGCAAATAGAAAGAGAGAGAATATTTACATCAAAGGATAGTTTTTTTTKGGAAGACTTATCACTCATCCTACATTTTAGGAGAAAATCTCTACCTTACATGTTATACTAAAAAACAAAAAATACCACATTTTAACAAATAAGTTCAAAATAACTTATTTTCACTATTTAAAAATAACCATCCTAATTTTATAATTTATCGATTTTGTTGGTTTTTTTATACATCTTTTGTTGGTTTTTTTAGTTCAATAATACTTAGGGTGGTCATCCAAATCTTCAATTTTTTAGTAATTGTTTATTAAAAATTACATCAAATCTTTTTGGTGCGGACATATATACAATTATTTTATTTAAAATATAATTTATAATTTATAATATTTTCGGAATAAGCAAATCATTCTCCATATATTGAGAAGAATGAATCATTCTGTATCAAAAGGTAGAAGAATTATTTAAAACGAAGATATAATACAATTGAAAATATTTTTAGCAGTATATTTCTAAAACCAACTAGAAAAAAGGCTGAATTTGTATAAAAAAAATTTAATAAAACTCCTTTTATTATTATTATTACTTTTTAATTTATGCATCTGGTCTGGTTTCGTGTGCAAAAATTTTCCATGCTTCAAAAAAGTACTAGTTATTATAAATAAATGCACGACTTTCACATTGCCACACTTTTGATTACTCGTGTACAATAAATATAAATACCTTTAAATTTCTATCAAGTTTGCCTGCAAGGGCTTGAAGCAAGGTCGATCTTCCAGAGCCCGGAGGTCCCAAAAGCAATGTCATCCTAAAATGTCACAAAAGCTTAAATAAAGATCACAATTCTGTATAACCTAACTTTCGAGTTTGGTCGAACTTAGCATATGAAACTGATGAAAGTTATAATAATTCCAACCAAAAAAGTGCAAATGAAGGGGGAAAAAAGCGTTCAATCTCCTAAATAATGTGATTTTGCCTTTTCACACTACTTTTTAATCTCGTATAGAAATGAAGTGGAAATTACAATTTCCTTGAATTTATTCCTCCAACCGATAAGCAGATCAAATCTTGAAAGCTGGGAAAATTTTCTTTAAATAAAATTTAAGTGTTTATGGATATATAGCTATCTCCCTCTTTACCGCCACTAAAAAATAATTGTAAATTATTTATTTTATTATAATAATTTTTTTAAAAGGTGGTAAATAAGAAATACAAGCACCCCTAAATTTTATCAGTTAGCTATTTATTCTATTCATCATTTTTTTTTTTGGAGAAACTATTCTTCTCATCATTAAAATGACAGAAAACTGAAGGGAAGTAATATGGAAAACTTTTAAAATTAACCACCCGGCCTATATATATAAAGTACAATAAATATGCCATGTATTGCGTCAGAACTTTTATACAGACTCGCTTGTGTCTTACCTTCCTGGTTTCACGATGCCACTAACTTCGTTCAAAATGGTTAATGGATATTTTTTGGATTTCATAATTCTGAAACTTGTTAGTATATTCTGCACCAAACACGAAAATCAAATCAACAAAAAAAGGATGAAATACAAATGGTGATATCATACGTAACGAGCTAAAGATTAAAGAAAATAAAAATTCTACCTCAAAAACATCGTATGTAAAATTCAATAGAGTGGGCAAAGATCTGGAACCGACTTGCACATCGGCTGCCACTTTCAAGTTCTGGAATCTGATTTCAACCGTGGGAACCTCCACTCCGGCTCTTGTATGACGGAAAAATGAAAAATAAAATACTAGTCAATAACAAAATAATAATTATAAATAATTCCCCAGCTCTCTAGCCTCTAGGCTCTAACAAAACTGTCAGAACAAGCAGTGCCAAAAAAAATCATTCGATTTCCAGTGACTGAGCCTACTGGCATTTTCCGGCTATAAATCCACATTTTCCGGCTTGTTTGTTATTTATCCCCAAAAATTAATTGCAATGCGGATCCGTTCCTAAATCTTACGCTATAAACAAACAAAAACATAATGAAATCATCCAGGCAAAAGAACTTCACCAACGACGAATCTTAATCGAGAGATCAGTTACTGAGAGAGAGGAAGAGAATTTCAATGGCAATCACCTGTCGAGGCGCTCTTTAATTCCAGAAAGCAACTTGTAATTATCTTGATCATCGGTGGCCAACGCCTTCTTCACAACGAGTTCGCGTTTGCTCTTATCGAGCTTCCGCACGTCAATGGTTTCCATTCTCTTAAATCCATCGTCCTCGGAGATCTCCGACAGAGTACGACTCAGCAATGCGAAGTTCGACCTCTTCTGAGACGGCAACCTCTCGATCGCCGCCCATAGAAGCTCCCCTTCATCTTCAGCCAAGGCCTCGGCATTCGACGGCCTCGCAAACGACTCATAATTCGCAGTAAAATCTAATTCGAAGTACTCGCTCCCGTTAGAAGCCGCCATTGATCAGCTTCTTCGTCGTCCACCTCTCTCACTGATTTTCACGCCTCAAGAGGAGGGAGAGGGAAGAAACAGAAACGTTAGCGTAGGGACTAAGTCATCCATATTTATAAGCTCTCTCATGGAAGGAAGAAGAAGGGAGTTCGTTGTAAATGCCGTGAATTATGATATAAAGCGAAATCCCGAAATTGCCCCTATTCTTAAGTTAGTTACTTTAGTGTCCTCCCTGCAGTTGACACGTGTACTGCGAAATGACGAATTCCTCCCCCCCACGCCACCACATGAATAATAAATTTTGGGGAATTTTATTATTACGTCTTGAGGTTTTCTTTTTTAGGAAAGTAAAGTTGTTTGTAAAACTCAAGTTGTCAAACGCGCATGCACATGCATGTATACACGGAGTCATGCACGCAAAAATTACAGTAATAGAAAGAAAAATAATTAGTTTCGAAATTTAATTATTAGATAATTACATTGGAAAACAGTCTATTTAGCAGAAATGAGTTTAATTATTTGGATATATAATGAAAATTATCTGTCAAACAAATAATTTCTATACAATTTATCATATATATTTTGTTGAATTTTTAAAAAAGTGATCTTGGCATTTATGTAAACCACATAAATTGGTGAAGCGGGTATTACTAAAAGAATGGTGTATATATAAAATATAATCTCAGAGATTAAAATATATATTTCGAAACTCTAAGATTAAAATAATTGTTTTTCTGATATTCAGAGATTATAATGGATATATTTTAATTTTTCAAATACCAAATATAGCCAATCGTGTAACCATCATCATTTACCAAACTTAAACCAAGCCAGAATTGATCCGTTTGAATTTCCTTTTTCAAGAATACTAAATGCATTAACTGTGTTTCCAGTTCAAATGAGAACAATAACTTAAAGCGAGTGAACTTTCCATTTTCTGTTTTAAAAATGGAGATGTGATTAGAACATTTACATAACCACGTTACATGAACAACTTCTCTTTAATAGGCTAGAGAATGTAGGAGTCTCCCCCAAACTACACCAAAAAATTCAAACTTACAGTTCATAAATAGAGCACTAAGATTTGGCTACATAATGGTCAGGTAGGGTTGGCACAGAGAAACTGAACTTCGACATATTACACAAGTTTAGATAATACCAATACCGAAAAGGCCTAAATACTGTAGACATGCAATACAATAAGATAGCTATCCCAAGAATAAGATTGTTGGTATCATTGAATATTTAGGTTCTTACCAGTAAGTAGGTATTATTCCTACCTAATACTATTAAAAAATTGATAGCTATTTTTTTTTAAAGAAAAAATCTACTTTCTATCTTTCCTCGTGCATTCATCTTTCTTAACTGTCAATTATTTAACGGTGATAGGTAGGAGACATTTACCGACCGATAAGCACCTAAATATCATTCTCAATCTCATTCATCCCTAGTAAGCAGCAAAAAAGTGAGTACATACATCAGAGAGTTAATTTCCAGCAATATACAGATGCAACATCAAAAACTAAGACCACTATGAGAGAGGGTTGGTTAACTTTGGGTTCATCTTACAAGGGGCTAAGGAGATTCAAACTAAACCTACAAATTTCTACGAACCTAGGCTGTAGAACTCAAAATGGAAGGGGGTTAGTTTACAGTTTAACGTTTCTTTTTGTGAGAAGAGTTTCTCATTTCAGTTGCGGGTTTCCTTGACTTAACGTTTTTACCTTTTGGGGTGAACTTATCCATGTCGGAATCATCGTCACTTCCATCGTTTTTAGACTTATGCTTGCGCTTCTTCTCTGTTCCGGTGCAAATAATAATTTTCCTTTCGTCCTTCTGCTCTGCTTGTTCATGGTCATCCTTTGGCCTCCAGATGAAGAGCGACCTGAGGGAACGAATAAGCACACCGAAAATGCGAATAGCATCAATAGATAAACTGGTGGAGGTAGAGCAATATCTCAGGAACAAGTGTGAGTTGAATGGAATAGAAAATTTCTTAGGGAAGTATCTCCTCATTCTATTGGAATTAGCAGACTCCAAATCCAATTGTAATTAACACCATTGTCAAATAACAAATAGATTTGAGGACAAAATTAACAGGGCCGAAAAAGAGGAAATATCAGAAAGGGGGGAGCATTAAACCTTGAACTCCCAGATGCCAAAACATCATCTCGTGGATGCAGCTTGTTCACGGGACTAATTGTAGTTATGTTTGGATCCATTACCTCAGCAACTAGTTGCCCGGTGCTGACATCTATAAAATCAATAGGATGTAAGGCAACTCCATTAAAGTTTTCGCTTATGTAGCGACCAATAACTGCAAGAGATTCAGACGGGTCCTGCATTGTAAATCAAATTGAGATTTATTAAAGGACAGCAATGGGGTAGGATAGATAATATATGGGAGAGGCAAATATAAACATGCAAGTTATTTGTTATAAGATAATATCACCTTTGGATCCCATTCTGCTCGGAAAGGAGTCAAATGTCGATTAAAGTCATGACTGTGCACAATTTCTCGGCTTGGCGAATCCAAGTTGCCAAATATAGAGTCCCACACACGAATGCGGTTGTCCTGAGATGTTGTAAGAATTTTGCAACCGGAAATGGGAGAAAAATAAGCAGCATTTACAACGCGTCTGTGTGCTAGATCATGCAGGGAAGAACCAGCCTCTAATTGGCGAATGTCCCATATTCGAGCCTGATTTCCAGAAGTTTTCTATGGTTAGTATGACAGAGGTAACATGTAAGTAAATAATGGAAAATCTACGAGCTAGATACCCAGAAATTTCTCATGGTTAATATCACAAATGTAACATGTAAGCCAAACAAGAAAATTCTGCACATAAAATATTGCTCATCATGTATGTTTCTAAAGAAAATTATTATTGATCAAAGTATCTTACAAAATGATCATTTCCACAACTCAGAAGAAGATCAGGTTGCAGAGGATTACAGTGCAATCCGACAACTTTGCTACCTTTCTTATGGATCAAAACAGCCTTCCCTGATCTGTTATTGGACCTTGTATCCACCCTAAAGTGCATCAGGAGATAACATTAAACCAAGTGATCATATCGTCGGACTCTCAATAGCCTAATATGCAATTACGTTACAGAAAGGAAAAGAGTAAGAAGCAATATCTTTGATCATTCAAAAATAAAAGAAATTAAACCACTTACAAGTATAGGAAACCAAAATTGTCAGCTACAAATGCAGTGTGCTTCTCTTGGTTGATATCCATACCATATAGCATCCTCCAACTACTAGGGCCCTAAAGAAGACAACATTCAATTTACAGCTGATATACCATGAATTCGCACCCCTGCCTCCTCATTCTACACTGTAGTTCAGTCTATAGGAATCATGGTGAGTGAGAAAACGAAGGATTTTTAATGACTCAAAAAGGAAATCGGAAGAGGTTTTTGATAAAGCTAATTTCAATGCTTCTAATTGATGCTCCCATGCTAATTCCTTCTGTAATTATTCCCCACATGTAATTATTTCTAATTGGAGCAGTTTATGTACGTTCAGAGGTGTGGTTAGAATATGTAGTTTTGCAGCCTTTTCACAATATCAATGAAAAGTGGTTGTTTCTTTCTCAAGAGTTAAGACAAAGAAAAACTTCAAAACCGAACCAGAAGCTATAACCAGCTATATAATATAATTTATCCTTTGTCGTTTGAGATGATGATCGTAGCTTGACCATCCAAACAATTTGGGTAACTAAAAGGCTATCCCAACTACCACAACTTATAAATTGAAAAAATAGAGATAAATACCTGCCAACCATCAGGGTTAAGGTTCATTAATGAAGAAGAAATTCCAGTCTCCATATCGGTGCAACTAATGGTTCCATCAGAAGATGCAGCATATATCATACCATCATTTGTAGGACTGAACCTGTAAAAATTTGGATGTTGTGTGTCCTATAAAAACTGAGTGTGATATGCATAATACAACTTGACTGCAGTAGTGCAATTTTCAAGAAGCATGAAAATGATAAAAATCAGAAATTGAGAAGATTATTACCTCATGTTATTAACAATACAAGAGTGTATATTTCCATAGACTACCTTCTCATGCACTTTACCATAATCCCAAACTCCAACTTGTCCTTTCTGGGGAAATCAACAAGACAAGAAAGATGGAAAGAGAGAGAGAGAGAAAAAAGAAATAAAAAAAAAGACAAATCAGGTTTCTACTTTGAAGAAATGCGAAGGGCTAATCAATCAACAGAGACTGGAATATTTAGTAACCTATAATAGGTCGAGTTCACCTTATCTCCGGATAAAAGGAGCTGGTTGTTAGTAGGATGGAACTCCAGGCATGTTACACGCCTACTGTGGTACCTTATAACTGCACAGTTCACTTGATCTGGGATCACATACGCTGGTTTGATCTACAAGACATGACAAACTTGTCAAGCTGGCGGAGAAGTTAATTCAAGAATTTGGAATACAGCTGCACAACAACTATACAACATAGAATTCATGATGCAGAAAAAAAAAAAAAGACAGTTACTACGAAGGCTAAGGGCACTTGACTAATCTCACACTCCAATGGTGGCAATTAATAACCCAAACCTCATGTCCATCTTCAAAATCTCCAGCTATATCACAGACTCACAAATAGATGGAAAAGCTCTTTAGAAATTTTCTTTGAAAGGGGTCTTTCAAAGGGAGGGAATTCTACATCTCATAAATTCAAAGAAAATCTTCCTTCCAAAGTATAATGGTGCCCTAGGGATAGGCAACATCATTAATATCAATTTCATTCTTTTCATTTCAGAACAAATGAGAAGATCACTTAGACTTCGCAATTGGACCTTACTCCCCAAATGATGAACAATGTACAGAAATGGACAGAAAGATGCCAACCATTTATTCCTAACCTGCAGCTTCACTGATAAAATCTGACAGAAGTTATTTTTTGTCTTCAGCTAGAAAATTGATGGTCTAGAAACGAAAAGAAGTTTCTGATTTTTATCATTTTTTAATAAGGCTGAGTTGCTGTGGCTCACCACAAAGCATTGTCTAGAGTTTTGGCTAGAGAGAATCAAATAGAATTCAAAAGGAGAAGATAATGCTGAAAAAATGGGATAAGAAGTTCATAACTTACATTCACTTATAATGCTGAAAAAATATATTAAAAAATAAATAAATTACTGCAATGAATCAAAATAAAAGAAGAGAATAAATAATACCAAGAAAAACAGAGAATAACTCACAGGAGGAATATGTGGCTTGAACTGGCGCTCAAAAACATATAAAAGGGCGTTACGAGTATTCTTATGGGATGCTGGAATAACACCAAACTCAGTCGCCACCCGATGGGGGCATGTCATTGTTGTATGTCCTTCAATTGATAAATAACGGGTAATGGAAGACCCCAAGTCATAAAATTCAATAAAAATAGGATAAAGAAAAATCAAAGCTAGAAAACTCTATGTTAAACCCCACATTATAGCATCTAAAGCAAGTTAATGATGCAATGACCTGAAGAAATTATATGAAATACTATCCGTTCAAATGTATGAACGACGAATCCAATACGCCAACACGTTGATTGAGTAATATACTTCTCCCGGTTCCAGAAAATCGTCCAAATTTCAACAATAAACAAACAATGTTGCATTTAACTCAGAACCGCCAATCGTAACAAGAAACGAAAATTCAGTGGAAAACGTAGCACTCACCAGGCATCTTGCAGAGAAAACATGGTTTCATAGGGCAATCAATGTAGGTAGCCCCCTTGAACCCCGCTTCATGACCCGTCCTTTTACAGACCTAAAGAATCAACAATAAGAACATAGCGCCGAAAATACGAATCATCAAGACATCCACCAATCATGAACAAGAGCCCCAAATCGAATACCTACTTTGCACACTTTCTTAAGGCTGATAGTAATGGGTGCTTTCCCCTTCTTCTTTGAGTCCTCTTCGATCTTTTGGCCTTCATTTTCGGAGTCATTACATTGAGCTTTCGGGTCTTCGTCCTCGTCGAGAAGAGGTTCTTCTCCGCCGTCCTCCTCCTGGTCATCGTCTTCCGACGAACTCTGCTCGGAGTCTGTGTCTTTCTCGATGATCACTCTGGGGAACGAGAAACTTCTGGTCGTTGGAGGCATTTTCAGTTCAGGGTACGGTACGGTTTCCCGGAGTTCCAATTTCCGTGGGGCATTGAGGCTATAAACGTCATTACGTAATTCGACCCTGGCGGGAGAATACGTGGTGCACTACCGGCCGCTTGACTTCCCCTAGCGTGAATCGAAAACGGCGCCGTTTTAGATTTCGGAATTTCTTTTCTTCCAGAATATCACATTTGGATAGGGAATTTAATTTCACCTATAAGAAGTTCGACACATTATTATCGATTTTAACACATTATAATGTTCAATTGGTCGGTTTGCCAAAAATATCTTTCTATATAAATAAAGACTCGTTTTTATTTTAGAAAGGAAAATAAAATATTTCACGTTTATCGATTCCATTCGGCCCTAGCGAGCGCACACTTGTACTCAAAGTTGTGTTAACCTTGGAAAACAACTGGCAAGTATACGATGTAGCACCTTGGTCGTGCCGTAATTGATTTCAAGATAGTGGTTTCGTTCACGACACAACAATCTTTTTATTTAATCTTGTTATTTTTCCTACATAAACAGCTTGGGTCTTTCGAAATAACTACGGTGTAAAAGCCTCATTTTCAGCCTCTTTATTTTCTTCTTCTTTGCTGTCAAGCTCGTAGTCTCTGTTGGTTTTCCTTCGTAACTTTTAGTTTTGTTTAGGAATGGGAATTCAAATTTTTACTCTGCATTTATAGGTTTTTCTTTTTTTCCTTTTAAATCAATCTTCATAGAGCTTGCAACAAATAAAGGTACTTTTTTTCTTTTTGAAAATAATGAAGGTGCATATTCCTGTTCCATACACTCTACCAATTATATATACATATATAATTCGGTAGTAAGTAACAATTTTTTTAAGTAGACAGCAAATGATATTTATACATTCAAAAGGTTAAAATTCTCATATCCTGTATTTATTATTATTATTTTTTTAAATTAAGCTGGGCTCATAATTACGAATAAAATATAAGCTAAAAATTTGTGAAAAGAGAAAAAAAAATCCAAAATTAAAGTAATCACTTTCTGCATGACTTGGGCTCTTACGTATATTTGGTATGTCCCTTCTTCGATCTCTAGAAATTTCTTTCCACTATTTTCATATTTGTTGCTGTATTTTATTTTTTCCAAATGCACCCATACCTTATTTTTGGCTTCTGAAGTGTTGGATAATATATTTTAGCAATATTTTTATTCAGAATCAATTACAAGTACCTTCTAATAGTTAAAATTTTTTAGATATGATGGTGTTGAATTATATATATATATATATATATATATATATATATATATATATATATATATATAAATTTAAAGCTTCATACAAGTATTATAAAAAAAAATTGGTATTTATCATTCTCATTTATTTTTTCAAAATCATCAGATAAAATATTATTTGAACAAATTTACATAATACATATTTACATGTACTAAAAAAATACATATTTACATGAAAATATCATCCACGAGGAAACTTCAACCATATAAGAACAAAAATCCAAAAGCAACAAATGTAGTTAGAAATTTAAGATCAAAGTTAAAGAAAAGTTGAAAATGACAACATGATTAGATTACAACGATGGATAAATGGGGAGACGATTACCATTAGTTATTAAAATTTAAAACTTCACAATATTTATTATTTGAGGGTGAAAATATATTACAAAATTTTCTTTTTAATCCTTAAAAACATTTAATATTATTGGATTGGCGCTAATAAATCAGTGTTCTATAATTGTTGCGGGTTTCTTTACGGAACGGAACAGTGTTCGATAGTCGACACATCGGCCACCAAATGGGTAAGATTCTCACGGAACGGAACGACACCACTGTCCCTATTTGTGGTGTCGTTTTAATTGTCTTCTTCCCGAGCCCTACTTTTATTTAAGGAATGTAAATTCGATTCGAAGTTCCAGGTTTTAGTACAGAGAACAATTTGAAATTCGGTGCTGTCTTATTCTTAATCCGGATAATGCTTTGCCCTAATTTCCCTATCCCGATCGAGAACGTTCTTAATCCGCCTAAGTTAATCCTCGGTTCCGCTCTTCCGAAAGTATCTCAACTCCATGGCTTCGAACGGCGCCGTTTCTCGAACCTCCGCGTGAGGGCCGGAGCGCCGGCGCAGGAAGAAGCGGCGCTGCCGGTGGGTCTGCAGAAGGAGTTTATGCCGAGACACGTGGCGGTGATTATGGACGGAAATGTGAGATGGGCGCGGCGGAGGAACTCGCCGGACTCGAAAGGGCACGACGCCGGCGTACGGTCTCTGAGGGGGTTGATTGACCTATGTTACAGATGGGAGATCCCAGTACTCACCGTTTTTGCATTTTCGTACGATAATTGGCTACGATCAAAGGTCAGCACCCGATAAAAACTTTCAAATTTTAGTAAAAAGAAAAAAGAAAAAACCTTGTAAATTTCATACTAAATCCATGTTTTATAAATTTTCTTTTAATAAATATTAAGATATATATCTGATCAAAATTTCTAGAAAGAGAAAATAAATTGTAATGAAATTGAATGAAAATAGGTTTGTTTTCTAAAATACATAAATCAAAAGGAGTAAAAAAGATAGGATTTTGTCTCTTTGATCTTGTATACACACACACATATACATAGTGACCTATCATTTCTCATATTATTTTGATTACTAAAAGAGAGAAGCGCGCAAATAAAGAAATTTTTTCTGTTTACCCAAAATTAGAAACGTTAAACTTTTAATAGTATTTGTATGAACATAGGTGTTGTTAACCCATCGATCTCTATTTTTTGAACCAGCGCGAGGTCGAGTTTTTGATGTTTTTATTCGAACGAGTTTTGAAGTCCGAGTTGGAATCATCTGCCAGGTGAACTTTAGTCTTAGAATCATTTTTGTCTTGTTAAGCTACTATTTTAATTCGTATACTTGTTATTTAAGTTGAGCTGTTAGACATTAAATTCATATAAATATATATTAACTTATTAAATAATATAATAATAATCCAATTTCACTACAATATTAAAACTAATATTTCACGTCAACATAAACATAGGTGAGTTGTAATTGACGTATTTTGGAATCGGAAGTTCTAACCCTAATACCCCAATTTGTTATATTAAAAAAACAACCAATATTTCACCCAATTTTGAAATTATCTATTTTAATTATTAAACTTTCAAAATTATTTTATTTAAATTTATGTATTTAATTTTTTTATAACAATTATTTTTGCTTTTGTTTTTCTATCTGTTATCTAACAGATAAATAACTTGCCTTCGTATATGTAGATTAACCTGAAAACATGGATATATATCACAGCATATAGGTTGACATGTTTTTTTTCCTTTGAAGTTGGAAAATTTTGAGGGATAGATACTAGCAAAAATCAAAATAATTAATTTTTTTTAAAGTTTAAAATTAAGAAGTATATATTTGAAAATTTTAGGCCTGGTTTGATAGTTGTTTGACCACCAATTCAATTTTATGTTTTTGTTTTTCAAAAACCATTTTAGAAACCAAAACAATAAGAAAATTTATTCACCCAAACGCAGATTTGAACCTATTTTAAAAATATAGTTAAATATAACTTATAATTTTAATAAATTATATGTTTGATCCTAGACTTTGTGTTTAATATTTCATTAGATTAGAAAAAAATTAATAAATCAAAGACTAATTAAATAAAAAGTGGACTTTTTATAACCTAATAGAAAAAATATTAAAATTTTAGAAGCCTATTAAATAAATTTTAAAGTTCATTGATTTGTTACAAATCTAAACATAATCTGACATTTTTTTTTATATCGAAGATTTAAATTGTCATATTCTAATTTATTCTAATCAAAGGAAAAAGAAGAGTCATTGATTGGTTAGTGTGAACAAAGAGGAGGGAAAATGATAACTAACAATCAATTAAATGACTATTTAAAATAATTTAATGTTCATTTTAAAATTTTTGGAATGGACTAAATTTACTTTATGAATATCTTTTATTATAATTATTTTTTATAATAAATAAATAGAATTAACGAGTAACAAGAGGTTTAAAATAATTTGATTATTTTGTGAACAGAAAGGGAATTAGACTATCGGTGATTGGGGATATATCGATGTTTCCCAAATCCCTACAGAGCCTGATAAACGAAGCAGTGGAGAAGACGAAGGGCAACACGAAACTGCAACTGATCGTGGCGGCGAGCTACAGCGGCCGATACGACGTCGTCCAGGCGTGCCGGAGCATCGGTCGCAGAGTGAAGGAGGAGGATCTTCGAATCGAAGACATCGACGAGAGCCTCATCGAACAGGAACTCCAAACCAACTGCACGCCGCTTCCTCATCCCGATCTTCTCATCAGAACCAGCGGCGAGCTCCGAATCAGCAATTTCCTGCTCTGGCAATCGGCTTACACCGAATTCTTCTTCTCCGAAACGCTGTGGCCTGATTTTGGGGAACACGATTTCGTACAAGCTTTGATTTCGTATCAGAAGAGGCAGAGGCGCTACGGCGGAAGGCAATCCTAGACGCCATTGCTGCAAAAATTCAAAGTTTCTCACACGATTGATTGACTATGCTATTTCGCATACAATTTGGTTACAAATTGGAGGGGGGTAAAGAAAAAGAATAAGCCTATTTCTTAAATACCACAGAAAATGAGGGTGTAAAAAGATATACCAAAGATGTAATTTCACATATGTCTGATCCAGAGGTCATGATTTACGGTTTATTAGCAACATCAATCATTCAAAAATACTTCTGAATTTCACCATTTATTCCAAAAATACATCAATCATTTCAGCCCTTAGACCACAAAAATATCACTTTGCTCTCCAAGGAGAGAAAACGTAAAAATAAAGCTATAATAAAATTGGGTAAACAATAAAGAAAGAGAAGCAAACCTTTTTAATAAGAAGATGAGTATAATCAAGATATTACTTATGTTTTTTTTCTAAAGTTGGAGATTTAAATCCCTACCGGCCAAATTGGGTCGGTTTGTCTGCACTTTCATTTTAAAATTTTATTTAAAAAATAGAGAAAGTAATAGTATTTAAAGTTCTATTTACCTAATTTTATGTACTTCAGTTAAAAATAGTTGATCAATATCATATTTTGTTTTAGGGAAACTAATACGTCTAAAATAATTTTTATCAAAAAAAAAAATCTAAAATAATTCGTGAAGTACATTATTATATAAAAATAATTATATGTTTAAAGAAAGTTTTATCACGAGAAAGAAGAAATATTGGCATTCCATTTCCAGCAGCCAATTGGCCCAATCAGATCCTGCGTTGTAGGCAGAGATTAAATCAAACCTCCTGAATCTGAATATCCCAAAGCGAAATATCGTCTGTAAATACTTTTATTGCAGACCATATTATATTACATCACATACATACATTTTAAAATACAGATGCCAGTTTCAATAATATATTCATACCTATTCTCATATTTACAACTTCGTGGATAAATCAAATCATCATATCGTTTCGAGAAAGCGACCGGAGTCTGCAGCTGCAGTTCGGCTGGTTAGGGACGGCCTCATGGTGACAATGGCAGACTCGTTAGCTCCTGCCATGAGAGCAACCCTTCCAGCTTCCAGAAATCTTCTGACTGCATCTTCTGCATACCTATTGGCTTGACCAACAGTCATAGATTTGCCGATGTTCGGGTAAGAATTCAAGACATGGTCACCGTTGAGCTGCGATGCAAGTTGGATCAGTTCGACTTCGAATTCGGAGAGTTCTGCGTGCTCTTTCGGTCCCCATGGCCGCAGCGGTGCTGTCACCTTTGGGAGAGTTTCTGGCATAAAGATTTCAGATATATATAATTGGAGAGAAATTTGGAGATGCAGAGGGCATTCATCAAGTTGAATTGCTATATGTTCTCAAGGGGATGTAAGATAGATCTCTAAAATCATTGAAAATGTCAAACAAGTCGTGATTGGGATCGACGAGTACCTGGACAATCATCACGAGGACTGTCGCGGAGCTTCAAATAATGCTCGAAAGTACCAGCCCATGCATCCCGCTTCGTGAGGAAGTTTGATTTCAGGTTGAAAAGTTTCTTCACAGTAGCCGGGATTGAAGAATGTTCAAATTGAGAGGTAGGTGTTGGTCCAACAGGCTCACGGATCACTGCACCAAACAGTTACAAATCAACAAGAAGAAGGTTACATACAAACTACTCAGGTTGGGGAGTAATAGAATAAAAATCCAGAGTGTAACGAAATCTGAAAAACCAACCACATCGAAAGACCGAGGTCGGTTTGACCTCTGGTCGCAACCAGTTCAACATATGAACAAACCAACTGAACTGATTTTAAGTACTTTTGGCAGAAGTTGAAAACTAATGTCTTCTAAAAATAGAGGTTGTTCAAACCAAGTTTCACCCCTAGACCAGAAGCTTTTTCAAGAGTACTTTATTATGCAGCAGCAAAAGTAATGTGATATGTATAAATCCTTTATTCTCTTGCATTTTTCTGCATCATCAGTAAATAAATAGCCTCCGTACTTGTAGTTGTAGCAGACAACTAATTCTCCAAACACAAAGAATTCTTTTTTATTGAAGAAAAAACTGGGTGAGTAAACTGACTCCAGTCCTAATTAAAATGGCTGAATTAAACTGTTTGTAATAGTATTTAACAACAAGAATCTATTGACCCTAGTTTAACTGGTTAAGACACATTGACATATATCATCGACTAAGAAGTCGATTCGAATTGGCACATCAAATGTGTTGAACCAAAAAAAATAAAAATAACAACAAAAAAAATCCACTAGTACTCTAGCTAGCTCAGTGAGGAGCTTAAACAAAATCCAGCTAGAGCGCGAAAATAGCTGCTCATGACATAAACTGAACTAGCAAATCTGCAGCTAATTCTGTTCGAAGTTTAATATAACTTCTTTTTAATAAAACCAATTTACTACAATTCAGTTAACTCTGTTATACAATTTACTACAACAAAATATATATATCTATATTTTGATAACCGTGTGTCCGGGCCAGCTTGAGCACCCCTAGACTAATCACGGACCAACCGTCTGAACTTAATACATTTAGTTGACCAGATAACTTGTAAGGTATTAACAAAACCAAGTTTGTGTTTAAAAAAGTGAAAAATAATAATTAAAAAAAAAGTAAACAGAGTAAACTTTAAAAAAATTAAAAGTTGAAAACGAAATTATTATTTAATTTTAAATATTTCACAAATCCATTTTAAAACTGTTTTAAGTTCATAGTAAAGTTAATAGATTTCAAAATTATTCCATTTTGCCCCCCCTTCTATTTTGATCATTAAACTTATAAAATGTTTATTTTAGTCTCTCAACTAACTATTTTTATCATACTTTCATTTTAATTTTAACAAATTAATAACATAAGAGTAATCACATTAACAGGAACATTTATCCCAGCAACTAGTTTGAGACAAAAAAATCACCTAAAATAATCTAACAAATATCAAAATGGTTATTTCTCGAGAATTCAGAGATTGAAATAGGCATTATGAAAATTTACATGGGAGAATGCGGCGGCGACAAGAAGAAGAAAGCTAGAGAGATTCAATGGTATATAAGCAAAACTATCAAAGCAATTATCAAATTCCCCAATTGAGAGTGAGAAAATGCGAATCAAAAGGGAAAAAAATTCTCGTAGATGATAATCTTACCTGTACCCTTCTCGACCCACGGCGAAACCAGTATCGTCGGCACCCGCACGCCCAGCCGGTCGAACCGGAAGTAGTACGGGTCCGGTCCAATGATGCCGTCCGGGTTGGGGACGCCGGCTACCGGCGTCGGAACGTGATCGTAAAATCCACCGTGCTCATCGTAGGTAATCAGCAATGCCATCTCCTTCCACTGCGGACTTGCCCTAAGAGTCTCATACACCTGCTTCACGAACTTCTGCCCGCGCGCCACGTCGTGCGACGGATGATCGTCGTTCGCCGGAAAAAGATCGACGTCGAAGTAACGCTGCTCAATCACCGCGTAATTTGGGAGCCTTCCAAGCTTCGCGTGCAATTTGAATTTTGGAGAGTAAGAGTGAAATTTCACTACGTGCTTCAGCCTCCTCAAACTTTTGAAGAATAGGGTTGCGGGGATATTTTGGTAATAAATGCCAAATGAGAGGCCATTTTCGTCCAATGAGTCGAAAATTGTTTTCTGAGGGAAGCCATGGATGAGGTCCTTCCTCACATTGCTCATGGCACCGTGAGAGGTAGCGGAGTGGACATAGAATCGATTCGGCTGAGTCGACGCCGGAACCGATGCGAACCACCGGTCGAATATCGCGAATTCGTTCGCTAGCTCGGTGTAGACCGGAACTCGTTCCGGTTTGAACCCGCTCATTACGGTTTTCGGCATGTCGGCTGCGCCCATGGCCGCCGCCTGCTGTGCAAATCCGTTCATCGGAGCCGGATTCGCCGAACTGTCGTTCGATCCGAAAATTTGCTCCCTGATCGCCTGAAACGAATGGCCGGGATCCGAATCGACGAACACCGCATCGTTGGAGACGAAGATTTCTTCAGAGTTCGGATCAGAAACAGAAATCCGGTTCGATTCTTTCCCCGTCAATCCATCGATTTCAGGTCGAATGGATTTCAGCCAGCCTAAGACGTGATCGAAGGAGCGATTCTCCATAACCACAACCACCACAGTCTTGATAGGTCCTTTGATTTCATGGCGTCGCTTCCAAAAATTGAACTCCAAAGCTTGGGAAGAGAATAAGAGATAAAGGAGAAAAAAGGAGGTCACACTCACTCTCCGGGAAATCATCTCCGACGGCCGGAATCGACAACCGCAAGCGGCGCCGAGGAGAACGATCGCCGACTATTGAGAACAGACAGTCAAAGAAGACGATAAAATCCAGACGACAGTGGAAACTGGAGAAAATGAATAAATTCTGACGGGATTTACGAAGAAAGTAAAGTTGAAAAGCAACAGTATTTAAAAATATATAATACCGAAATTTACCTTTGAATATTAATATGAATTTGAGGATTTTGAAGAACCGTCTTGAAATTGAAGACTTACTATGATGGTAAGAATATACCTAATTTAATTGTGAAATTGCATTTCGTGAACTAATTCAGCATATTCTTCCAAGTCCCTATCACTGTGTTAAAAATTATATATATAAAGAAAAAAGATGGAAATTACATCAGTTGAAATCTTCCCAAGTATCTATGAAATATAATTTTTTTAATAAAACAACGGAGGTTGAAGAGTTTCGAACTCATATTAGAGACAAATGTGTCAATTATCACTTAACTAAGCTCATGTTAGATAAAATAGAAAATATAAAACTACTAAAGAAGATTTATGTTATTTTTAAAATTACTAATTTCGTGACTGGATTATTTTCTCGACTCTTCTAAAATTCCATAATATCTCATTTCTTGCTTTTTAAAACTATAATTTAATTAATACGAAATAAAAAATTTGCAATAAAAAAATTGAAGGAAAAAAAAAGATAATCAACCTATTTTAGAAGTTACATCGTAGTACTCAAAAAATGACATTAAATGAATTTGACAAAATAATTATAAAAAATAAAAACCTAAATATACTTTTTGAATTTATGACCCTAGAGATTTTACCATTCAAATAATTAGGTCAAAAAGTTCAAATTTTCATTTCCTATATTTGATATACTAAAAAAATAAAATTGCATTTAAGAGAAAACCAACATTAATGGAAGATAAAAGATATGTCGAGTTTGGTAATGTTGTTTAAATTTTGTTCAACCAGTTGGCATTGTCTTATTGTTCAACCCTTCCAGGGATAAAATACCAAAAAAAAAAAAAAAATCATAAATTTCCACAATTTTCTTGATTTAACAGGTGCCTCCACTTTAGAACCTTGTGTTACAGAAATCTTGAAAAAATCCTTGGAAAATAATGTCAATAATAACAACTCAATTGAAACTATAAACCATTCATTTCTTATCACATCTCTTTATAATTAAGATTCTGGTCCAATTTATAGAAACATTTCTAACCTCTAGAAGCAATTTTTCTTTTTCTTTTCTTTCAAGTCTAAGCGACGGTAGGTCAACCCTCAAACTTTTTTTAGATATACCTTAACCAGTTGAGCTATCTTTTCAAGTTGTTGGCATATAATCTCCCGACGCAATTATTTAATCCTACCATGGTTAGCATTATCATAAGATGTTTAACCAATTAAACTATGCTAGATTGTTTCCTCTATGATGAATTTGGTGATGGAATACAAAAACAGAAAGAGGAGGAAAAGTCATCAAAATCATCAAAATTCATCACTTTTCTTGCGTGCACCATCAAGAACAACAATCAAATCAAATGACTGGAAAGAGATAGCAACATAAATGAAAAGAAAAACGTGAAATTGAAGTAAGATGAGAATCTATTCATGATTGAGGGTAGAAGGATATCGTGCATAAGTTTCATTAGAAAAGATTTAGGGTCATCTTGAGCTTGTTTTGTTTCCACTTTGGAAGCTTGTAAAAGGTTGTTTTTGGCAGCCCAAATTTCTCTCCAAACTCTTCTTCGCTTAAATATGCCTGAAGAATCAACCAGGTAATGCAGATTTCTGAATGAGAAAGAAAGATGCAACAAGAATTTGAAGTAACACTGTAACTTTCTATGCTTGATATGTATGACAATAACCAGATTGTTCGCAGGGATAAAATTTGAACTTTAAAGTAATGACAGTGGAAAGCTGGTTATCATTTGGTTTGGTAGCTGTTTTCTCTGCTTCTAATCCACTGGGATATTTGAACTAGCATGTCTCAAGCTATTTATGAAAAAAAATTTAAGGAGAAAAAGTAAAAGATAGATTGAAAGTTGGTGTCGAACAATAGTTGCAATCAGACATAGCCGGTAGAAATCAAACAAAAAATAATAAGAATATCAAGAAATCATTATTGCTTTTTAATATCCTTTTAAGTGTTCAAGCCTGCTTGTGCGCACCCAACTAATCTTATGAGACAATCGCCTAATCCTACTGCATTTTGTTGGTAAGATATTAAATCCTAAGTAGGTGGCTACGAAGGTTTAAATCATGGTCTCACTCAGGCTATTTTTTCCATTATTTATCTGAGTTTAGTGGGGGTGGGTGTTTGAACACAATCATTCAAGCTTACAAAAGAGCGAAAAATAAGTTACCTCTCGTTTGGTCACATCTATGTCTTTAATTGGGTCTTTAGATGCCACGGTCAGCCGTTCACATGGATATATTGGTAGGTTCTCAGCAACCACGTCCCCATTATTCTGAAGGATATCGCTACCTTTACTGGAGACCGGTGATGATGATCTTGCAGTCGGGTAGCCTGCAGGTGCGGATAAGCGGCTAGAACAGGTTATGAATATTCCAATCAATAATGACAAAAAAGACAGAGTAGAGTGCTAGCTAAGTAGTCTTTTGCTGTTTAAGGTTCACAATACATCATTCTCTAAACAGTCCAATAACGAACAAAATGCACAATCGAATTAAAAGATTTTACTCATTGCATGGTTAAAGGGTCTAATACCAGGAGATCTAACCACCACAATTTCAATAGCTTATCAGACATTTAATTGATATTAACTACCTCATTTTATGCTTCAAACAAACGTTTCTATAATTCGAATTGTAATAGGGAGAAAAACAAGCAAGTTCCTTTCCTTTTTTTCTCTCTTTTTCACTTTTTCGAGAGTTTGTATCTTTGAACAATTTTTGTTTATTTTCATTTCTTCAATAAAAAGTTTGTTTCTTGTTAAAATATATATATATATATATATAATTGGACATATTTTTCCTCCCCTTACCAGCACTTTCAGAAGGAGAAGATGTCAAATTGAGCATTCTGACAGTTGGCGTTGGACTGGAAAAAAGATCTCTGTTTGGAGACTTTAAATGGGGCCCTAAACCTCTGAATGCAGGAGATAGACTTCTTTCGTGCGGATAGGAACTTATGGAGGTGCGTCTTGATTCATCTGGTGTAGTTTCCCTTGAGAGTGCTTTCCATGATTTTTTTACAGGTGACTAGATAATTGAGAAGCAAGAAATTAGAAATATAAACTGTGTGCTGCAATCAAACTGCAATGGATAGTCAAAATCAATTTCTTTTTAGTATAAAAACAACAAACAGCCAGAGCCGCTATTATGTACTGATTTAGTGAAGTTACTAGAATGATACTTGCAAAAAAGGATTGCCAATCTCCTTTATAAAAGCCACTTACATCAAGATTTTGTAATTTTCCTTTCAAAACAGCGAGCTTCCGCTCAAACGAATTACCGTGCATCTGCAAGTGCAACAAATGAACAGCATTGAGTGATAATCACGGTGGCTGCACTGTATTCTGACGTAGTGCAATCAAATGTGTCTTGACATGATCACGACTTGAAATTTAAGTTAGAAGTGGGCTGTGTAAGTACCAATTTTTGGCAAATAGCATGGAGGGATTGAAATGAAAAGGAAAATTCTAACATAATTATACTTATAAGATGTAATGGAAGTGGCAGTGTGGTATGACTTTCACATCTAACACAAGACGCATGTATTCTTAAAGTTTACCTAGTCAGAGAACATTCTTACATTTGCTTTGGAGAAATCCCACTCAAAGAACTGGGTGAAAAGTGGTGGCTCATGTCCTTCAGTGACAACATATATGGGAGTCTCAAGAGAAATTCCTTCATCCAAAATATCTTTCTCTAGAAATTTCTGCAAGCACCAATAGTTTCTTTAATAAGAACTTCGCGGAAGTTTTTGCTTGCAGTAATATAAACAAGAAGAAAATAAACTGAATCATATGATTATGAAATACGCTGAAGTATTTATAGGTTGTACGCGAATTATAATGTCTCGATATACAGGTGGCCAGCAAAAGCACAATTCCAGTGCCCAAAAAACCAAGATTTTGGGTCAAGATACCTCGAGAATTTTTTGAATATTTTTCAGAAACGAAAAAGGTGAAATGAACCAATATTTATATGCAGGTACTCGAGATGATCATTTTGTCCAAGGTAAAATTTTAAAATAACTTGTCAAAAAAAAAGTAACATCTGCAAATTGAAACAACAGCGTATCAAGAAAATATATACTTACATGGGCAAGATCAAATGCTTGTTCCTTCCCCCCAACGTTTGAGTGGCAGCCTAGCCAAACATAAATCTCATTGTGGCAATTAAGCACCAAAACATCTTCAGTAGTTAGATCATCTTGGGTGAAGTTGTAAATCTCCTTCACCTGAGAATAAATCAAAGGCAATATACACGTTTATTGTTAATGACCCTGAAGGACTGTACATGGAGATGCAGAAAGCACCAAGATAATATCAGGGAGTGATAGCTTTTGATATAAAATCACCATTATCAAGCCAAGGTCTTGAAAGTTTGAAACCAGGCTTTGGTACTATAAAATTCAAACAGCAAAGGATACTTTACAAGGATAGAGAAGATATACATTATACACCGAAGGAGACTTTAAAATTGAACTTTGGCACGTCATATACCAAGACAGCACCAGTCCAATGGCATGCATTTCTAGAATTTTGAGAGGACTATACCTTGAAATCACCTGTAAGGAAAATTTCAACCAAATACCAAACAAAGCACAACCCACCATTAGACAATTTTCAGCACCAATTTGAATTTCGATAATAATAAACCAAACGAGATACATTGCCTTTCAAAAAGATATTAGAAGATTAAACATTGTCAGTATACCTTCACTGATGTTCAAGACAAATAAATGTGGATCTTCAATGGGTCCTTTTGCCTCTTTTCCCTTCTGATACTCTGACTTTCCTCCAAGTGTTTCCCAGAATAAATCAGGTTCACTCCCTTCCCTGACTGATACAGGTTGCCATGTCGGCTACAAATGATATCAAGCATTTAATTCCTCGGAGAGAGGCAAACCAATTTCTAGTCAGTAAAAAGTTGTCTGTCAAACCCTGTTTTAGATCCATATTTTTTCTTCAAACATGCCTTAAACAATTGAAAGTCTTGACTTGAGAATTGGTTATATTTTTGTACCCAAGTTCCAAGGATATAATTCACTTACATTTATCATGTCGACCATCCTGTCTAGAATTTCATGGTCTCTGGTCGAAGAGAGACTGCCAATCCAAGTGAAAATGCATGTTTCAGTTTGAAGGATGTAACAATAGGATGAATTTAGGGAGTCTGAAACCTGCATTACTTTCTCTTGTCAAATTATATTGATACTTCACAATATTGGTTTTCAGGAAAAATAAAGCTACAAAATAGAGATCAAGATTATACAACATCATAATCTTGTGTTCAAGAAATGACTGAACGTTTCCAAGCTGATTATAATGGTAACGTTATATACAGTATAAAGTAACAACCTCTTATTTTACATTAGAAATCTTGTGTTTATGAATTTAGAATCTTGTGTTCAAAAAATATCCGCCCACTAAAAGTTGTTGTGGTAGAAAGAGACTGAGGCTGAGAGCCAGAAGTAAATACTATACAGATCTCAGTTCTTAACTCACTAGATCAACTTGGATTGCCTGCATATTATTCGAGCCCGTCCCTTGAATTCGGAAAAGTGCATTCTTGCTTTCATCATATGTATCATCATCAATACCTTTCTCTTCTAGATGCTTTTTGTATCGGGTACTCTTTCCTCCCTAAACAATAATGCAAGGTAAGCACACACAAGAAAGGCATAGGGAAAAAGGAAACTCGTGTGACGCACCTTAAAAATAATTAATGTCTCAAAAATAAAGAAAAATAGATCTGGCTCTTTATCCTCTACTACTAGCACCTGTAGTTAAGAAAGGTTACAAGTCAGGAAATTTTTTCTGATAGCACAAAAGGTAAAATCATAAGAAATTATATAAATGAGCTCCCATAAATGAATATAATTATTGCTATTTAATTGTTTGACATCCCTAACTTAACCTGTTGCAATCGACAAACCAATTAAAAGTAGTCAAATTAATAAACAAGAACTCACCACAACTGAATCCCTTTTGGTCAAATTAACAATTGTGTTCATATGGGATATGGCCTCTCTTCTGTCCTCCTAGATATACGTGAAGTGTAACAGCATTTAGTACTCAACGGAAAGATAAAAATAGAAGTAGAAAATGTAAAAATTTTACTGAAGAGAACCCCAAAGGAAGAGGGAGAGAACAAAATCAATGGTTGGTACCATAAGTTTTAAATATTAGAAATGCCTCTCAAATTATGTTAGACCCCATACTTATTAGGGGTAATTATACAATTAAATTTCAACGGTTAAGACATCTTACTCCTTCCCTTGAAGTCGGAGGTTCTATCTCCCCTCTCACATTGGTTGTACTAAAAAATAAATAAATGTTCTTACCAATAATTGATTTAATCAAAGACTTGTGAGTATTGGAGCAATCCATTATTTTCCTAAGCCCACGATGCTTAAGAAAACGAAACTCTAAACCTGTATATTCATTCTTAAGGAGGCAAATAGAAATCTTAAGCTTTTGTCCATCCTCTTCCCCTCTCTTGACAACAAGTCTTCTTCTTCCTTAATTCAAGTAGTAATCTAACAAGTACCCAAGTGAATCTCCACCTTCCCTTCAAAACTAATGCAAGCATGCTCGATTCCACTAAAAAAGTAACAATAAAAATTCATGTCCTATGATTATCGATAAAATACCAGTTGTTTTTCTCATTCTTTTTCATCAAACATTGAGTGGATTTGCCTTTCGATTGATTGAACCGGTGGTTCTTTTATTCATTGTCAGAACAGGAGGAGGGGAAAGGACAAGCAAGAGGTACCTTGGTTAAACCTTATCCAATGTGTTCAAGCCACCTGAGAAAAGGATCTAAATAGAAATGTTGATCCCTTTGGAATATTTAGCCTTCCATATAATATAACAATGCACAGAATATTTGGTATAACTTCCAGAAGCTGAAGATCTCGGAAGGATTTACAAGAGAATATTCCACTGCCTTCCAACACCCAACTCCAAGAGTTGATTTTTTAGTTAAGCTGAAAATCCTCCCCAAAACCGTCAATCATGCCCGCTCCACCCCCCTATAGTTCATATGTCTTCTGAAATTTAGATTCCAAGATCTAGAATTCGGAATCTAAGCAATCCCAATGCTAGCTTGCTTTCAATCAATAAAGTTATAGAGTATTGAACATAGCAAACTCAATGGGATCCTTTTGAGCCACGTCCTCCCAAAATCTAATGGTCGTATTTGTCATTGATTGCTCCTTGATCATTGTTCTGCATTTTGAAATGAGTCTCAGGTCTACAATAGTTGTATACATGAGTCGACACTTAATTTAGTTACAGGACCATACTTTGATGACTATGAGCCCGTAAAGCTACTATGTCTTGGAAAATTCTACCAATTTTTATGAAGGGAAAAATTAGTTCTTCTTTACATTACCAATAGCCAATTAATAAGATGAAACTATCTTAAAACCACACCAAATGAAGTCTTCAATAATCTTTTCAACTACTTTGACACATTTCGTGGGAATTTTAAATATATGACAGTACAGGTCTACAGGGGCACATTGGACAAAGTTTCATTAAGCGCTAATTTACCAGCTTTTGAGTTTGGAGAGTGGGACTCTTTTGCATTTCTGTAATTTCATATTCAATTTACCAAAGACAGATTCCCAAAAAATATTGACTATAGGATTTGAACTTTGGGAAAAAATAATGGCATCTGAGCGGTCATTCACTGGATTATCACTTGCCAGAAAGCATCCAACTTTTGGATTCAATATCACTACTAGTACTAGTAATAAACATAGTTTTTTTTTTCCTTTCCTGACTTCAACTTCAGACTTGATCGAAGATATGAATTGCTCAAAACAAACTCCTAATTTTAATCGAGATATATAAGGAAAAACATATGGTGTCATCAACAAACTAAAGATGGGACATGGTAGACACTAACTTGGATTTCATCCAGATTTAGAACCTTCAACAGACTCTGAATTGACTGCCTTCTAACCGCAATCAACTAAAGATATCAGCCACCTAAATAAAAAGGAAACCAGCGAGTGGGTCACTCTGAGACAGACCTCTAAAAGTTCTAAATGTCCCATTTGGCTTAGCACTGATAATAATAGAAAATGAAAACTTGGAGATAAACCCCTAAATCCATCTCCTTCATCTGCAATAGAAACCCTTTTCATCCAAAACCATAACAAGAAAAGACCAATATGCCATATAATACACCTTCTCAACATCCAGTTTGATGAGTATTCATGGCAAAATATTTCATATTGCTATTGCTTATTTCGGATGATTAAACAACTGGTCTTGATTTATAGATTAGTTGCAGTTTTTGTTTTAGTTAACTTATTATTCAGCATGTTAGGCTAGTAGATGTTCCTTATTTCTTTTAATTAATAAAATGGACTTGGTTTCTACTTAATTGAGTGAATATGCATGAAAGCATTATTAGTCTTTAAAAATTCCGTGGTATGACAATTTCACTTGAGACAACACCCAAAGTAAAGCCCAATTGTCCTCTTTAATAGATGTCTGGAAACCTTCAAGAAAATAAAGTAAATTTATAAAGGAAATATTTACAATGTACATGACGATAAGTCATTCTTACCATGACAGTCCTGCGACCAAGCCAGGAATAAATTATATTCTCATCCCTACCACTTCCAGGATATGTATATTGCACAATGTAGCAATCCCCAGTGAAAAGTTTTCTCTGTTCTACATCTGTAAGATGGGTAATCTTGTCCCCATCTACCCGCCAAACCTGAAATGTTGACATGGAACCGACATAAAATTGTGTCATACTACCAGCTGCCACAAGTCAACCTTAAATTTCTTACACTGAGAACCTACTTTGATCATCCCTTGGATGCTTATACAGAATTTGAAGTCTTGTTCAGGAAGCTCCTTCACATCATAGCCCTGTTGCTTGAAAATTGCTGAAATAATGAAAGAAAATTAAACACATTTCTGCTGCTTGCTAAGGTATTTCTCCATTATAGTGCAAAAAGAATTAAACCTGCTACTTTCCCTCGGCCTTCTTCATATAGTTTTGGCTCCACAGTGTTCGGCCAATCATCAAAGCAGGCCCTAAATGCAGCAGTTTCTAACCCTTCAGTTAGTAAAGTTAAGTGGGTCCCAGTTGACCTGTCCTGTTTTCTGAGAAAATCCTGAGATAGAGAAGAGGATCAGAAGAAGTACAATATAATTCCAGATGGAACGGATGTGAAGTTCAAATTGTATTCAAATGCACAAATGATGCTCAAACTATTTCTCCTAGACAAAACTAAAAAGAGGAAAAACGAGCTAAAGTTGGAGTTAGATGGTAACTAAAGTTTAGCAGTCAGCAACTTTTTTGCACGTGATTATGTTAAGAATTGGATTTTCTTGAAGAAAGAAATGTTATAAAAATTATATTCAGGGCAATAAACTCAATCTATTTCTCACTCTAAGCTAACTTAAAAGCTCCGTGGAAGTCGGACCTCTTAATTTTATAATAAGTCAAATATGTAAATAATCTTGAAGATGTTCTCGGTATTGCCAACTTGACATTATCTCATACTTAATGGGACAAGTAATCACATGGTTTTCTTTGGACAAATCACTATGAGTTGGCTAACAATCAGAGAAGCAAGCTACGGACTTAAATGTCTGTGAATGTGGACTTAAGTCTTGGTGTTTACTGACACCAGACAATAATAATGTCCTACAAATTCCCTGATGCCATATTCCCCTAGTCTTGCATATACTTTTAAAATTAATTGGAAAAGGAATAACAAGTTGAATCTGTTGCTACTCATCATGAAGTATGTTTTTGCATGTACCGTTTCCCTTCAAAATCTGTTTTGGGGATAGGGGATTAGCAAATGGCTGGGTAATAAAAGAAACCCTCACCTCTACAGCTGATATTGATGTCTTGCGTTCCGTAACTGAGGTATGTTTCCCAATCCAAATGAATATCTGTGAGTCACAATCTAGCATATAGCATTTGTCTGTCTCAAGCATCTCTTTGTTCAAAATATCAGATCCCCTCTGGCTTAATTTCCCTTGAGTGCTTATCCTGCTTACAAGAATATTCTGAACATGAGGTACAGTTACAAATAATCAAAGAAAGTGTGATACGGGAGAGTGCTTTCTTGACCGGAGCAACGTCTGACTGAGGCAAGTAGATTTCAACTCTGTCAAATGTCATAGGAGTATGTTTTCACAGACCCTTTTTTCTTTTTTATTTTAAGCATCACTCGTATTTTTCCTTTTTTTCATTTTACCGAGTAACAGCAAGAACAAATTAACCATCATAATCATTTAACAGAGAAGTATAAGATTGTTAAAAAGGAAACTAACCAAAATATTTTAGTTGAAGAATCAGATGATTTCTGATCAGAAGGCACATCCCGAGGAATGGGTGCGTAACCACCAAAAAAGCTCCAAAACTCACCAACATCGGAATCACCCACAAATTTTCCATCATCTACAAGAGATGAAAAATTGCTGATCGTTATAGGAAAAAAGGATGGGAAAATAAAGAAATGTACCAACCTATAGTTACTAAGTCACAGCTTCCACTATGATTATTCCCTTTAATGTACTGAGCAACGTCCAATGCTTTTGCCCTTTCTTGTATGCTGGAGTAGCATCCACTAAAGAGAAAAACTTTTGATGCAGTGTCTAGGATGAATACATCATTGTGATTTAATGATGACCGAGAAAAAGGCACCTAAGGAAGATGCATATAGATTAGCCTTATCTCATTTCCTCCGGTGCAAATAAGATTAAGTGAAGGCAAAAATCATCCTTATCATCAATAATAGAAACAGAAACTTTTTTATGACTGTTTAAATGAATCCAAGCAACTCAACAGGGCAGATTCCATGTAACAGGTGAAGATGCAAAGACTGTGATTATGCAAGTTGACAACATTGTTAAAATGAAAAAAAAAAAAACAATGTTGCCATTTTTGCTGCTTACTTCCTTAACATGAACAGCACGGTCTCCCTTGCAGGTCAGCAGCCTGATTTGATATGATTTATCTTTGGGGTGCTGAGGCTGTGAGCAGTAAACTCCTTCTAAAGGTATAATACATGGTTTAAAGTACGATAAAAATTTCTCCGTTTCTTGCCCTTCAACTTCCCTGTATTGTACAGTACAAGATCCGAGAGCTGCATCTAGTTCCAGTGCTTTGTCTGATGCCAAAGCTGAGTCAACCTGTTAATGCAGAAAACCCAAGCATCGCCATGTTATCCCAATAATGCAACAACTGTTAGGTAGAACAGTAGAAAGGAAATGCATATATGAATTTAAGCACCAAAAATGATATAAACAGGTCCAATATCCGTTTCAATCATCAACTCATAGTCGTTTCTAAGATATCAGGGTCTGTATATGAATTATTTTCATAGTCAGACTAGCCAAATTAGTAAGTTTACTACTCTCTTCATACAGCCGATATTTGGTAGCTACCATTGATACAAAATTTTGCTTGTATGACCAAAAAAGAAAAAAGTTGAACACCTTATTTGCATTTTCTCCCACCCAGAAGTGCATGTCATGCTGGGGAATTCCACATTTTGGCACTGCTGTCTGCTCGAGTAACAAACACATCGCGATCAAATTCCATGAAAAACAGATTAAATGTGGCAGCTTAAAAAACTATAGAATAAGAGATTCTGTAATCCACAAATTAAATTCAAGACTATTAGACTAGTTAGTTACATATCTTGTATTAGTTAACTTTATGCAACTACTTGTATATGAGTGGTCTATATATAGACCTGTTTTTCAATTAATGAAGTATGCAAGTTTAATTACTCTGTCCTCTAATAAAGACTTAAAGGTAGGTGTTCTTAGAGCTACAAATTCTCAAGGATTCTGAATGAATTAAGTAAAGAGTGCAAAGCGTGAAAAACTTACGTTCAAAACTATGTAAGCACTTCCAGAGTAAAACTTCCCGTGTGAAGATTTCGGGACAAGAACTACTCGGAGGCTCTCGATACACCAGATTTCCAGCCCACTTACAAAAGAAAGGTCAAGAACAACGTAATACACTTCATGGACAAGCACAACACACCATCCTTACAATCGAGGGAAAAAAACGAACAAATAGACGTGTTTCTTCCTCATAAGTATATCGAAAGTAATGCAACGAACACTAAAACAGTTTCCAGCAAACCTCCATAGCATGAACAGTAAATAGAAAGAGAAAGAATAAAGAAAATAGAAACATAAAATGCGGTTGATGAGGATACGCTTTGGTCCCTGCACCTTGAAACACAGGATCCGCGTCTTTAAAGAAAAGCGACATTATCGCTCATAGCTCTGATATATCAAAAGCTTCTACACACGGCTTTGGAGAAGAACACTGGAAATGATTAAGGCAACAAACAAAAAAACTGACAGAAGTTCAGATCATGGAGGAGAGAGGAAGAAACTTGATTACCAGAGTGGGGAGAGAGAGAGAAACATGCTTGTGGATAACTTCATTGCGCAGCTAACGGAGGAGCCCACCATCCACCATGCGAGAGAAAGCTTCTTTTTCTCTGCTTCCTCTGTGAGAGAGAGAGAGAGAGAGAGAGAGAGAGGAGGGCAGGCTTGACCCCGCGCTTTGTAATTGTCATGCCGTGCAGAGACTTTCTCTGCAGCTTTAGAGTGGACAAAATAATTTAAAATTTTGCTATTTTTTCCCGGAAAAACAGTTTAAAAAAAAAAAAAAGAGTTTGAAATTAATTTTTAAAAATATTTTTGGCTGTTTTTAAACAACTACTCCATTCTCTTTATTGTTTCAAAATATTATTTTTTAGAAAGTAAGTTGGTTGTGGTTTTCAAAAACAATTTTAAAAGGGAAAAGGCATTTTTTTACTTTTTATTTTCCACTATTGTCCAATACTTTATTTAATGTCACTAATGAAGATAAAATTAATGCGTGATTATTGAACTTAAATAATAAAAACATGTCCTTTGAGAGCTTGTAGACTAAATTAAATGATTTCTTACCGGTTTATTTTCAATAATTTATCGATCTCATCCTCCCTTTTTGTCAATAATGAAGATAATAATTTATTTTATGCAACGTTTAAATATATATTTTTATGCAAAATTTAGATGGGTCCCACCCACAAATTGAAACCCTCATTTGAGTAATATTTACTTCCCACTTACTTCAACCTTGTTTGGTCATCTTAAGTGCCACCCCACCCGCTAGTATTGGACTGCAAACAATGACATGAATTTAACAATAACAATAATAACAGCGAAGAAATAGCGGCATTCCGTCACCCCTATTTGATGTATTAAAAAAAAGATAAAATAAAATGAAGGTTTGAACACTTGGAGTTGATATTTCAACTTTGATTTATTTTGACTCATATATTTTTAAAACGTCGATTTTGATCCTCATCTTTTATTTTTGGTTCGTTATGGTTTCTGTAATTTTAAAGAGTGACTATAAAAGTAATTTTATTTTTATTTTGTCTAATTTATTTCGATTAAAAGTATAACGACATTTTACTTACTAAATTTATTGAAAATGTAGCTATAAATTTGTGTGAAAAAATTTTAACTTTGGTAAAAATTTTACAAATACATACTAAAATAATCGGACACTGAAACTAACCAAAGTTTGAAAATACATCAATTAAATAGATATTTCAAATTAACTAAAGCCCGAACTACGGGACTAAAATAAATATTTAAACATAAAATTGAAAAAAGAAAAAGCCGTCCCCAGGCCCAGCCTATACACCCAGGCCCAGCCCACTCCCCAACCCAATCACATTTTGTCCCCCAAACCCTGTTTTTCTTACGTCCCAGCCGCCTTCTCTCCTCTCCGTTTCCTCTCAATTCCAGCCGGCGGCGGCCCCACCGTCCGCCGGTAGCCGCCGTACCACCTGCCTGTAACCGCTCCACTCTCCTCCGTAAGCCACCTCACTCTCTCTCCCTCTCGATCCCCAGCCGGCGGCCGATTTGATAAAAGATAGGCCAGAAACCGAAACCGACCTGGTAGACCGAAACGGTTTAGAAGTTGTAAGATCAATATTCGGTTCGGCTCGGTTCGGAAAATAACCTGCCGCGCTCGATCCCCTTTTGGAAGAAAACCCTTGACGCCAGTCTCTTGGTTGAAGACGTTGATTTTGGAGCGAGCGATGAATCCTCTGACCCTAGTGAAGCGCATCCAGAAAATCAATTCTCAGGAGGCATCGCTCGGGATTTCCGAAGATGCTTCTTGGCACGCCAAATACAAAGATTCCGCCTACGTTTTCGTTGGAGGCATTCCTTACGATCTCACCGAGGGTGATCTCCTCGCCGTTTTCGCACAGTAAGTTCACAATTCGATCTAAAAAGAAGGCGTTTGATGTTTTCACCGGATTTTTATTGTGTTCTGCTGTAGTTTTCTGCTGATTTAAGTGTTGGATCGGATACTGGCTAGACTCTTCCTATAAATGTAATCCCGTAGCTGGAGTAATTTATGATCGAGTGATGAAAATTTCCGGTGTTCTGCATACTTGAAGATGCTGTTTGTATAGAATGTATGAGTTTTTAGTTGTTGTATATCGTTTGCAGTCCTGACTGTTTTCAATCGGCAAGAGAGGGAGTTGATGTTTCAACTATGCAGCTTATGCTTGATCGAAAATTTAGCTTGTGTTTGCTAGTTAAATATATATTGCTGTTATCTTCAACTTGGAAAAAAGTTTCTCACTTCCACCCCCTCCCTCTCGAGAATCGTACAAGTTGTTTTACTTTTATTTTGGTCATTTTTAGGATTCATCTTCTCTTTGACCTTAAGGACGGCATGGTGAGAAGGAGATATTTGAAGATACCTCTTGAGGTCTTAGGTATAAGTCATAGGTGGAAAATTTAGTTATCACAAATTCCATTTTCTTCTGGAGCTGGAGCTAGCCTTTGGATGTGAAAAGCCTCTCAAAGATTGGTGGAGTAGGTCCTACCGCGTAATACAAGGAGTGGAGCTCTTTGATACCTCGATTACATTACAGAGAAAAAAAAAAATCTTCCTTCCTATCTTAAAAAAAAAATCTTCTTCCTTGTCTCTTTAGTGTCTAGCTGTTTGTTAATGCATATTTAATGTTATATATTGACTTGAACTTGGGGCGTACAGGTATGGAGAGGTTGTCGATGTCAATCTTGTCAGAGACAAGGGTACAGGAAAATCAAAAGGCTTTGCTTTTGTTGCATATGAAGACCAGAGAAGTACAATCCTTGCTGTAGGTTGTCTCCTATCCGCGCTCCTAATATTTTATTGTTATATGGCATTGAATGTACATCTCTAAGTTATAGTATTTGGTCTCTTTCAGATAATTTGAATGGTGCACAGATTCTAGGTCGAGTCATTAGGGTTGATCATGTTACTAAATATAAGAAGAAGGAAGAAGAAGACGAAGAGACAGAACAAAAAAAGAGAGAAGCTCGGGGTGTTTGTCGTGCATTTCAAAGAGGTGAATGTACCCGTGGAGCTGGATGCAAATTCTCTCATGATGAGCAGGTATATTTAAGTTGCTAGAAGAAAAGTTGTACTGTTGGTATATAGAGATGTATTTTTCATATATCAGAATTGCTCTGCCCTCAAACTTCGGTTTATATGGTTCCATGCATATGTGTAGTTAACAGCTAGAAGTCAATTCTAACTGCTTAGTTTTATGTTCTGACTTTATCTTGTATTTGCTACAAATTAGGTTATTCTAATACACGAAATATGGTCAATTTATAGAGCATTTAGTTTTACAGGATGTTATAATTTTACCTTTAATGTGAATAGCTGGCTGTGCTTTACTAGAAGGAACTTTTAATGCAAGCCTATATCTTCTCTATTTTCTTTGGCATGCTTGGATTATAGTTTTATCTTCATTTTAAAATTTTGTATACAACAGTAACGCGTGAGGTTTTTTCTTTATTCAGAGAGCTGCAAACACAGGCTGGGGGGTGGTGGAAGACGCAAATGCAAAGTGGGGACATGACAAGTTTGATGACCCAAAAGATCTTGATAGAGAAGTGCGAGCTAAAGGAAGGAAAAATAGCGATGACAGGGAAATTAGTAGGAGGCAGGAAAATAAATCAAAAGGCTGGGATGATAGTAAAGAATCAGAACTCAAGTTGAGAGAGGATCATGGCCGTAAAGATGAGAAGAGATTGAGAAGACATGAGGTTGATGATGACCGTGACCCGAAGTCAAGAGATGATCATTATAAGAGAGAAGAAAAGAAATCTAGAAGGAACCATGATGAGGAACTCCCACAACATTCAAGAAGAGATTACAATTGGAGGGAAGAAGACAAGTCGAAAAGGCATGGTGGTGAAGAGTATCAACCAAAGTCGAGGGAAGACGACGATAGAAGGGAAAGAAGACATCGCTCAGAATCACACAGGAGGGAAAATCAAGATGAGAAGAGAGATTTTCGATCTTCTCATGGCAGAGATTCTTCATCCCATTCTCATAGAGAAAGAAATGAAGATCGTCATAGATAAAATGAACAAGGACACAACAGATCAATATGGTGAGTCATGTAATGTTGGTTTTCGGCATAATTCTGAGGGGAGACTATTTTACCCAAGATAGAGCTGTCATCTTGATAGTTTTGGGATTCAGCTTAATTTGACGAGTACATTTTGGGTTTCTGATGGGGCCATTTTGTTTCCCTGTATTATAGATTTACAATAGGAACTTATATTGGCCTCTCACTCACTTGAAACCAACCTCTGTTTGTTCTATCAAAATAGGTAAAATAACTCTTGGATCTGGACGTTTCTTTTATCAGAAAAGTAAAGTTGTTGGGTTGTTGGAATCTTACCCTTATTGTGACTTGTGAGTGGATGTACAAATTATTCCCAATTTTGACATATATGTTGTTGGCTTTAGAATATAGATCGTTTCAATTTTAAGAATATTCTTCTTTTGTGTTATTGATAACCATTCAGGGTGCACTTCCTATACCGGTGGCGACATTCTTTTGGTATAATCTTTTGAAAAATACTAGTGATTACAAGTCGGCACCTATTTTCGTTTTTTTTTTCCCTTGAAGATTGAAATATTTTCACTGTTGTTATATAGAACTTATCGTAATTGAAATATTTATTTCTTGTTATTTATCAAACAGAATTGGAGTTTAAGGTCCACCCAAGATTGAGATTCATTCACTCATAGTTGAGAGAATTTTATTCTTCATTCCCATTTATTTTCTTTATTCCCAACCTATCTTCTAATCACTTTATTCCTTTAGAAAAATATCTTCGATCTCAATTTTGAATAATATTGTCGATTCACTTTGATACTACTTCAGGTTCGATTGTTAAATTTTAATTCAAGTTGGTAAAATGGAATTGATGTAAACCAAAATTCACTGTCATTAATTGTCCCTCGGTTAAAGATTACACTAACAATTTCAAGTGAATATTATCAAAATAATGTAAAAAAAAATTCAATTCGAAATGGGGATAGATTAGGGCTTTGATACCTTTGTTTTTGGCCTGCAATTGATTCATCTGTCCCAGTTTTCACGATCAATTAAGCAAGATTCAAGGCTAAATCTGGCTTCGTGATTGCATCTGCCACATTTTCTATTTACAACAATCAGTTTTCCATTGGCAAATGCGATTCATCATCTTCCTCACTACTTGTCAGGCAAGAGTTCTTGACGTGTTGCTATGTATTGACAATTACGATGGTGGCATAGCAACATAATTTTTTTTTACGGTAAAAGAATAATTAGTAAAATATAGTGCACTGAGCGAAAATTATTTCTGAGGATATCAAGTGATTTCTCGATTGATCCTGGAATTCCATGCGAGCATGCCCTAACTGTATTATGATCAGATGAATTTCCAACTTTCTCGAGGCTGATATTAGGTTGATTTGGAAGAAACAGCTCAAAAAACAACTTGGTGAATTGAAATCACGAGGAAAATAGAGTGATCTAAGAACAAACGCCATTAATCAGTATAGTAGACCGAAATTTCAACTCTCAGGTAGGGCAATTTACGAATCGTATGCCTGATAGAAGATTCGGAACCAAGAAGGAAAATGTAGAAGATGAGATTCAGTTCGATTCACACAACCGCCTTAATTTTAACAACCAGAAAGAAGGAAACAGAGATCGATAGTACCACATCGACACGAAAGGTAGGCTAGGCATCTCGCAGTAGCAACCACCTGTGACCAAATCTCGCCTCGGTTTTGTACACAGAGAGAGTGAAAGACGAAGAAGAGTCGTTCTTTCAGCATCAGAATCATCGCCTGTTGTCGTAATCGACGACTTCAGATTCGGTAACCGATCGGGAATTCTGAACTATGGAGCGGCCGATCGAATTGATCCACTCCTCCTTCTCGCGCTCGGACTCGGCGATGAAGTACATGGTGTCTTGACCGGTGGTAGAGAGCTCAAAGGCGCAGGGCTTATGGAGGATATCCTCGGCGCCCTTGACGGTGAGGCAGGTATTGACAGGGATGACGCCGCGCGGTACGGAGGCGCGATTAACATCGGAATCCTTGAACCAGAAGAGTTTACCTTGTTTAAGAACGAACCAACGGCGACGCCAGTTCTTAAGGTATTCGCCCTGCTTGTTGAGCCAGCCGGCGCGCTCGGGAGTCGTCCAGAACTCGATGCCCTTGTAATCGTCCGGACTCGGATCTTGGCCCGTCGCCGCTCGCCACAGGCTCTCCATTCTGCCGGAGCTCTTCGGCCGCGACGGAATCGGCGGGACAGGAAGAGAGAGAGAGAGAGATGTTTGTCTTGATTTTTTGGAGCTTTGGACGGATATGGTTGCAAATGGGATCTTGATATGGATGGGAGACTCTTGCTTATATATTTTTTCTTATCTAAACCTTTTATTTTGTTTCAATTTTTACGTATTAATTGTGGAAATTAGTACTAAAAAAAATTGTGGAAATTAGCTGTCAGTGTTGACTTGTTGACTAACGGAAACGTGGTCGTTTCAAGTCGAACTCCGAAACGCCCCAGCCCAAGCTGTATATTTGTAATTTGCTTTTCTTTTTGAATAAAACAAAGCTGCACTATTTCAAGCGTGATATTTGGTGGTTATAAAAAGAAATACCAACCTCATAAATATTATTGAACTAAATATATATTTATGTAAATCTCGAATTCTCGAACTGAAGGGGAAAAAAAAAATTATTTAAGAGCGATCCACACCATCCAATTATAATTAGATATTTTAAAATAAGGTTTTAAGTCTTATTTGATAACTGTTATTTTCCCAAAAAAAGAAAACGAGTTTTGTTAGGCCAACTTGGAAACTTCTTTGCTTTCAAACGTATACTTATTTTCTGACTTCTCTTTTTCCAAAATCAAACTAATAAATCCAAAATTTGAAACAAAAAAGTTATATTTTAAAAAGTATCTAATAAATTACTAATTTCTATTCAAATCTATTAAAGATACTTAGTACTCAAAAGAAATAAATAATAAATAAAATAAACTATAAAGTTAAAAGATTTATTGAATACAAAGTTAAAAGTTTAAAAACATATTATATACTTTTTTTAAGTTTGGGCTCTTATTTTTTTAAAATGTTTTTGAAGTACAACATAGGGTGGGGGATCGAACTCACGCTCTCCAATCATTGGAAGAAAGCCTTGAAATTCCATTTCTCTCCTCTCCAACTTGAGAATACTTCTTTCTATTGGCTATCTTCTGTCAGTTCAAGCTATCTTCTGTCTCGAGCAAGAAAAGGTATGTGCAAGTGACAGGGAGGTAGTAAAGGCAAACGCATAGACGGGGGATAGACCTCTTGGTTGAAAATATATGTTAATTACCGCTATACTATGTTAACTTTGACAAATTCGGGCTCTTATTAAACTAAACCAACTCTGAAATTGTACGGACTAAACTTGTAACTTGACCTAGAATAAAACAGGTAAGTAGGCAGGGAGAGCGGCTTTTGTATCAGCAACATTATTATACATAATCTCCAGTAACTTTTTATTTATTAACCTTTATAATTATAATTATAAACAAATGGGAAGTAGAGATAGGAAAGAAACATGTTGAAAAGGAAGTATAGGTTAGTTTTTGAGCTTCTTGGTTAATTCAGCAACATACTTGCCTTGGTAAAAGGCCTGTTGGAGCTCCAGCTCGGTGGGCTGTCGAGTTCCATCAGCTGCATAAGTTCCAGCTCCATAGGGAGACCCGCCCTTCACCTCACTCATCTCCATCATCCCACTCCCAAATGTGTACCCAACAGGCACAAATATCATTCCATGATGTGCTAGCTGCGTTATAGCCGTCAACCTGTGCCATCAATTTTGATTATATAAAGCACAAATTACAATAAACCAAGCGGTTTTTTACTTTTTTGGCTGTGTCTTGTCTTGGTTTTCAAGATAATAGACAATAGAGAACAGAATCCTAGAAATTGCAAAAATAAAATTGCTTCTGAAGCTATATGAAATGGATAAGTTCTTCAAATCAGAAATGAGAAAAGGAAAAACCAGATGTGGTAGGATATTGTATGAAGTTTAACCCAATCTTCCTGTGCAATTTCACAAACAGGGCCTTCTGTTTCATAATGGTAATCATGCTGATGGACAAAAGGGAGCGGGGAGCTAAACTGAGAGCCAAAGTTTTGATTCAGAAATGAGATGGCCCTGTTTTGGAAAACATGGGCTGATGAACAATGATTTTCATGTGAAGAAACATGCTGAAAGCTAAGGAGAAAGATGACTTACGCTGTAAGTTCCTGGCCTCCGCCATGAAAGCCAGTACTCCAGAAAATTCCGGCAGGTTTACCAGCAAGTGCTTGGGACTGCCATATCTCACTTGTTGCATCAAAGAATGCCTTGAATTGAGCAGCCATGACACCGAATCGAGATGGAAATCCGAAGAGAAAACCGTCTGCTTCCAGCAGTTGTTCCGGCCTGATCTCTTGCACATCATCTGCTTTTGGAGGAGCTTTCATCTTGTTCAGTATCACATCAGACAGTGTCTCAGGCACCTTCTCCAAACAAGTCAGGTAAAACTTATAACTAACCAAAGAATTGGAAGGAAAACTCTTGCAGTCTTACTTCTCAAAATTTTCATACGGTTATATACTCAAAAGCGATCTTGAAAATTCTATAGAAGAAGCATTTTACTTGAAAACATTACATATAAAAGTCATCCCAAACTTAATATTATTTGTGATATAAAACAATGTTGCTTTTTCTTATTTCATTATTACCTATGTAAAGAAGACTAATGGTACCTGCCACAGAGTTGCCTCAACACCTTCAACTGAATTAGCTCCCTGTTGAATTTTCCTTGCCATAGTTCCAACATGGCCATGTAGGGAATAGTACCTGTCACTCTTTTATATATCAGCGGGAAATTAAAGTGAAATTGAATAAAAAATGAAGGATTCAATGGAACTGAACGCAAAGATGATTCGGGCGATCGGGCAAAAGGGCAAGAAATGGGAAGGATGGAGGGAGGAGAAAACTTACACAACGTATATCTTCGTGGTTGACATACCTTGTGTCTTGAAATCAAATCAGCTTCCTGATAGACAATATTAAAATTTTAAGTTACTTTCAATCTGAAAAATATGTAAACGGCATCTTTTCGGGGAAGACATGGAAATTTATGGTTGAAACTGAGGGCAAAGGCAATATAACCTGCGATGCAACAGCCACTCAATCTTAACAGCATATATCATTTGATCTTTCTGCTTTACTGAATACCGAGAATGAATTTGTATCAGAAAGAAGGTTTTATGGAGAGCCTTTTCTTAGTTTTATTAACATTTGATATCCATAAATTTTCTTATCAAAATTCCCCCTCCCCAAAAAGAATGAGAATCAACAATGAATTCGACAATGGCCTTCTTTCCCCTATTTTCACTAAAATGAAAGAAACCTGAGTTTGTAAGAATCAGAAAACAGTGGAGTAGCAGAAAGGGGGATCAAGATGAATGCATTCAGATAAAACCTAAAATAAAGAGAATCAAAATGAAAATACATACAACAACAATTGCTTAGCCATTCTTCCGAAGCATTATCCAACTCCTACAGCATCTGTGAAATTCGTAGAGAGCAAAAGAAAGAAGAAGGAGGAGAAAACTAACCTTTACTGTAAAGCAAATGAATTGGTAGGCAGGGAAGTTTCAACAAACCGATAATGGATAAGTGATAAAGAAAGCTCAGATAAACGCATTCCAAAATCCAACCAACAGACAAAAATGATATAATTATTTCACTGAAGATATTCATGCACCTATGAAATGGTGACATGTGTTTAGTTCTAAATTTGATATGATTATTTCACCGAAGATATTCATGCCAAATTTCGTAAAAATCCCGAAGGAGAGCGAAACCAATGAACCTAGCTGAAGTTGCAGGAAAAATACTCATGATAATTGAAACTCATTTCCGAGAAATAAATCAGCAACAGAGGAATTGGAGAAAAGAGTGTACCAAATGATGCACAGAATAAGAAGAAGAACGGCGATTTTTTTGACCATCAAGCTGCCGGAGAAGATAGAATAAACCAATTTCTTCATTTCAATAAGTTCTTATCTCGGCGTCGGGTTTCTCCATGATCGCAAAGAATAAATCTCTGCGTTCGTCAAATTCTAGGGCTGGAGAGACAACGAAAGGCCGTAATTACGCCGGCGGTGCCGGAAAACTGCTCGGCGATCAACAAGAACGGCTGCATTGGAGGAGAACGTCGATTTTCCACAAACATTTGCAACGAACACTCCGATCATGGATGAAACGGAATTCGAGAAAGCCATTTTTGGTGTCGAGCGATGAAACGGTAATTCATGGCGCACGGGCGGCTGTGGAGAATGAAATGAAATGAGAGGTGAGAAACGGCGACGTCGACGGCGAAGGAGAAGATCTTCCGCGATTTCTCGCTCCCCTACGAGATTTTGACGAGAGTTTCCCAAAATCTCTTTTCTTTACCACTCTTACATCTTACCTAGTTTGGCAGTTTGATTTCTCTTCCTTAATGTAAATATTAAACATTTAAATCATAAAGAGTGCGTTTTTTTTAATATCTTGAGTGCCCAAATTTCGTACTAAAAAAATTTACTAAACATAGTAATGCGTCAGAGATTAAAATTCACATTTCATATTTAATCTATGCTCGATGAATAATAGGAAAAAAAAATCAGAAAGCGACGTATAACTTTCCAACTTTTCTCTTGCACCACATTTGAAAATGACTTGTAAGTTGTAACTTATAATAAATAAAAATAAAATCTAAACTTCAAAGTCTAAAAGAAAACTTCTAAATTCTATGCACAGCTAAAATATTTATTATATTTTTAAATTTAACTATTTTTTCAAATTTTAGGTAGTTGCTACTTTCACCAATTCCTATTAATTTCTTTTGGCTACTTTTGCAAGCACCCCTTACAATTTTTATTAATCTACAAAATATCAAACATATACGTTTACTAGGGTATGGATTCAAAATCAATATAAATAACAAAATACAATACTGAAATAGTGACTAAAACTTAAAATTTCAAAAATATTAAATTTAGCTCGTCAAAATTACATATGAAAACCAATATGAAACTGTAAATATCGATTGCGAGAAATCAAGTTAAAAAGGTAACAGAAACTGAAAATGGGAGATACGAAACTATTGATTAAAAACAAAAGCATTCAACAGACGTACAAATTTGTGGTCATTTCTCGATGAACGACGATTCTGCAAGGTCGATTGCACGGGCAAGCGCAGCGGCTTTGTTCTCACACTCTCTTTGTTCATCTCCAGGGTCGCTGTCTGCCACAATGCCAGCCCCGGCCTGGAGGTGAGCTACCCATTCCATGCGGCGGTTCACGTCCTTGTACGAGTAAATGGTGTCATAACGGGTACTGGTGGGGAAGACGATCGTTCTCAAAGCAAGGGCTATATCCATGTCTCCTGAAAACGAAATGCCACCGAACCCACCACTATATGGCCCCCGCCTAGTAACCTCCAGCTGATCAATCAACTCCATTGCTTTCACCTGCATTGCAATGGGGTCGATCATGAAAGGTTTTCAAGAACGCGCTTGAAGCACGTAGATTATCACTTCTCGCAAAACGAGTTTCGCTGAACGAAAAAGCCAGAGAAATGGGTGGCTTAAACAAAATCCATAAGCAGGAGTACGGGAAGTAACCACAGTTCAGAAGCTACAATTCTAAGGCCTTACCTATACAACACTGTAGTAGAGAAGAAAATTGGATAAAATAAAAACCTTACCTTTGGTGCTCCACTAACTGTCCCCACAGGCAATGCAGCACGCAAGACATCCCAGCTGCTTAAACCATCAACTAACTCACCTGTGACCTGGAAAGAGAATGGCTTGATCATTAGCTAAATAATATCTGACTCTG